ATTTATATAATAATTTAACATATATATATGATTTTAGTTCTTCATATAGATATGAAAAATTGTATATAATTGTACAACAAATAAATGAATTCAAAAGAATTTAAAAGTTCTTATAAAAGAGTCCAAAACAAGTTAAAAGTCAAATAAGAGTACAAAACAAAAATTAGTTGACAATATATATATTGGTGGATATAATTGATTTTATTATAATAATTAGAAATAAAATAGGAAATCAAAAATTTTTCGTAGATTTTGATATTTATAAGTAGTATAGATATCTATATAATAAAATAGAATAAAGTTTGAATCCAAAAGATAAAGAGATGTCTAAATCATTTTGAGACAAAACATAAATAAATCCAACAGACAACGTAATCCCAACATAAAAGACGATTTAGATCATCTCAAAAATTTTGATCTAATAGTCTACAGTTAGTCCTGAATTTTTTTTCCTGCCCATGAAAAAGCCTCTTATCGTAAGACTCTACACTTCTATCTCTCATACGTTTCTATCTTAAATTTGAAAAGGTACAATAACAACTCAGATTAAATTTATTTTAAATTAAATGATCTAAATTTCATCTAAATTTATCAAACTTAATCCAATGACTCACAACACATCCCACACAAAAATAAAATCTCACCAAGGGTGGANTCAAACTTAATCCAATGACTCACAACACATCCCACACAAAAATAAAATCTCACCAATGGTGGAGCCAGAAAAATACTTTAGGGTGGGCACATTAATAAATTTTAATTGTTTTTTTTATCAATTTTACCAATGACTAAATTCAATATAACTGTTATTTTAGTTGTAATTTTCAATGTTAAATGAAGTCTACTTTCAATCAAAGGGGTGCATTAAATTATGTCATTAAATTATATTTAAATAGCATTTTTCATTTTTTTTTTCAATTGACCATAGAAATTGATAAATTCATATTTACTATAATTATGCGTAAAAATTTATTAAACATAAAAGGTTAAAAAATGATTTGCATGGAATGAACAAACAAAAAATAAAAGTAAATTAATTAAAACTTCGTATGGGACTAATTGTTATTATTTTACAACTAAATATAATTATTGTTTATCATTTAAAAGAATTACAAATCACTGATATCAATAAAAGCTTTTTTTCTATATACAAAATGATAATTACAGTCTTTCATTTATTATCCTATAATTTATTACATTATGACACTCATTTCTATACAATAATAAAATAATCTTATAATTTAGAAAAATGAACGTGATATGTCCAAAAATTATTTGGACATGTCTGTGTCTAAAAATTTTAGAATAATGGTAATTGCATCTAATTCGAAATTTAATTTTAAATCTTTACCACAAAAAAAATTCAAAATTTAATTAGTAAGAACCCAATGGTTTGTGACCATTGGATGGATAGTAGACGTTATTAAATGTATGAACTCACTATTAGATTTAATATTGTAATGTATTAGTTACAATAACATTATTTAAAAATTAATTATTATTTAAGTAGTCGTCTATCTTAATCGATATCACAATAATACAATAATAAGATGAACACAATTAAATATGTGTTAAATTTTATTTTAAAAAATATATATTTATTGTAAAAAAAATTGAGGGTGGGCACAATTAAATATATCTAAATTTTATTTTAAAAAATATATATATAATGCCAAAAGAAAAAAAATTTTTGAGAGGGGCCCATGCCCACCCTGGTCCAAGGGTGCCTCCAACCCAATTTAAACTACACCCACTTGCTACCCATTTTGTCTAACACACAACCCAAACTCTTTTTCTTTTTATCATTAACCGTCTCACCTCTCTTAGTTTATCAGAAATCATTGTTATCTTCTTGAGTCTGTGCAGACTCTAACAATTGACAGACCTTTTTCAGCAACACACGGCATAATTTGGAGACCCTCTACTGGACTTACCCATTCCGACCATTCACTCTCTTCCATCCAGATTGTATTGAAAGTGATCTAACCTCTAGAAGTACTCTCGTTGGTACCCATTATTGTTTATCGTTGATGATTTTTTTGGTTTGGTTTAGTGGTATATGTTTTGACAATAGTTTATTGTTTTTAATTTTTAATGTTCATGTGGTTTAGTTGTGGATGTATTGTCATTAACTAATTGTTGGTAAATGTTATATGTTAAAAGTGTATTGTTTGTACCTTGATTTAAATTGGTATTGTTTAATTTCTAATTTTACAATAAAATTTTGCATAAAATTAAAAACATTTCTATTAAACACACATAAAATACATAATATTTCTAACTTTAGTGTTTCTTTTTTAAAGTTTGACAGTTTAACATTTGATTTCAATAACCGCATACACACTGTCACTACAACACAAAAATCAGTATCCAAATGGATAATGTCACAATTTTTGGACATGTAAGTTATTTAATATATCGATTTTTTCAAAACATTTGGTATAATATTTTGTTAAAAACCATTATATACTTACTATATAATTTTTCATAATTCTTATTACAAACTGATTCATACCTAGAGCACACTGTAAGATCTTCTTATCACGCGTCTTAGTACCGATGGTTGATGTTTACTTCTTACTTCTTATCAATCAATGAAGTTTAAATTGTCTTTATAATCCATAAATAAAATCATCAAGTTTTATTAATACCAAAAATAAAATCACTACTGTATGAAAAGTTATAGTTCTCAAAAAATTAAAAAAAAATTCAAAGCCCAAGTTAATTAACAATTAAAAAAAAATAAGTGACCAATACAAAAAAAATAAGATACTAATTGCATGAACAAAAAATATTCAAAACTAATCTAATCGCTATGTGTTGAAATTATTCAAACATCCTATCTTTGTGTGTTAAATTTTTATAAGTAATATAGTGCCTTCAAGCACGGACAATGACTAGTAGATAAATAATTTTTATGAATTATACTGTTAAATAGTTGCACACACATAGCATTGGTATAAAATAACACATATATAATGTTTAATATATTTTAGATTTCTAAATTACTAAAAAAAAAAAATTATGTGATACCACGTATAACTTTGAATATCTTTACTATGAGAGTAATTTGTAACGGTCCACACATATTTGATAAATTTTTAAAAAATACATAAAATATAGAACAATACATATATTACTTTTAATTTTTGTGTGTCATCTAGTAATCAATTTGTTTCACTTAATCGGCTCTATGGACGAAGATTCGACAATGAAGGACTAGTAGTGACTACAATTGTTGCGAAATGCACACACACTTCAATCTTTTGAATGGAAAAACTACAACGGACCAATCCCTCGACCATTAAAATTGTAACATAGAGCCCCAAAAATTTATGATCTCAATTTAATTTTCAACCCTTAATTCAGCTTCATATTTTAAGGCATTTTTGAATGGTCCAAGTTAAAAGCCAATATATTTTCACAAGTCTATTTCAAACCTTATAAAAATTTATAAAATGTAATAATTTTTTTATAAGTCCATATAAAATCTTATAGAAAGTCCTAACATATAACAAATACTTCTAAAAAAATATAAAAGTAACAACTTCTACATTTAAAAGTTACAATTCATCTCAAATTATTTTCACTATTTTTTCTTTCACCCTCATCGTCTCTCTTCAACTCTTTTTCCCCCCTCACACTCTCATTATCTTCCTCTGGTTCTTTGTCTTTCTTGTTGATTTCACAATTACACTCAATTTATTGTTTGATCCCGTTCAATCTTAAACCCCCTAAAAACATTGAACTTAAAAAAATTATTATCTTCCTAAAATATTAAATAGATCCCCATTTGTGTTGGGCCACCTTGAGAAAAAAGTTACCAGATAACGCCGCGGTTGTTACTTGATATTCTCAGATGTCGATTATTTGTCACCGTCAAATATGATAGTTTATATAGCCCCAACTCGTCGATCACAGATTATAACAAAGGTAGAGGATTGGGTAATGTAACTAAGAATCATGTTCTAAAATTTAAAAATACATGTCTACATATATTATCTTAGTGAATCGGACCAGTTCTTCTACAGTGATGGTTCAAACTTTCGATCTGCCCTTCACTTCCAATTTCCTTCCATTCGTTTTTTTTTTGAAAATTATTTCTTTTTTAAATTATATATTACTTTTTTTTTGGGAGAAAATTGAGAGTCTAAAAACTAGAGAAACTAGGGGCCTGTTTGGTTTGCGTTTAAAAAAATAGTATCCGAAAACAGTTTTTGAAAAGAGTTTTAAGAAAGTGGTTTTGATATTTTTTAAGATAAAAAACTTATTTGGTTAGATGATTTCAAAAATAATTTTACAATACAGAAAACAGTAAAACCTGTTTGGACAGCCTAAATATATATTTGAACAATAATTCAAACATTAATAAAAAAATATAAAAAATTTATTTTTAGATTGACAAATTCATAAAAAAAAAATTCAATAAACCAAACTTTAATATATATATATATATATATATATATATATATATACACACACACACACACACACACACACCCCTCACGCACAATATATAGATACGTATATACATTTTCATATATACATGTATAAATAGACGTGTATATATATATATATTGTTCTCCTTGTTTCTAAAATTTTCAAAAAAAACTCTGAAAACAAGCTACACTTATTTTCTGTTTTTTTTGACTCAAATCTCATTTTTTCTCAAAATTTAAGAAACAAAAATACTAAATAAACAAATTTTGGGTATTTTTAAAATTTTGAGAATAAAAAACTGTTTCTAATATGATAACCAGACATGACCCAATATTCTTGGAGGAAAGCTAAGATATAGGGGTAGTTTAGACAAATTAACACCAATTATCCAACTCCAATTAATTTGCTGAAAAATATATTAAAAAGTACCAGTCTCCAAAAATAGATTATTAGTGTCTTCAGAATCAACTAGTTTAACCGGTCTTATACTATTGTAATTTTCTTATCTTTTTTGAAGAGGAATGCTATTGTAATCAAAATACTACTATAAATCACACTTGCTGCACAACTTTACACAATCAAAAATAAAACTTTAGAAAGATTTCAATAAAATCCAATTAGAATGAGCCATAGCAAATAGTTACATATTATGACTGCTTTAGACACTAGAACAATCTCTCAACTACACACAAACACGACACTAGCACTCAGCCATATCGATAATATTTACCAATCCCACACATTGTAGTGTTGATTGAATTTGCATTGTGCCTCTCGAAAAAGTGAGGTGATCACAGCAACCAGAGACAATGAAAGGCCATATAAACTAAAGTAACGACGACACAAACACACCGGTTGCCCTTATTTTCGAGGTCGTCGATAGTGGGGACCTGTTCAAAGCATCAAAGGCTGAGACAAGTCAATAGAGATGGTGCGATGTAGCTAGGCTAAGAAACCGAACCTACTAATCAAAATTAGCAGGAATATCCAACTCTGTTTCCGAAGCATCTGCAAATTCATCAAATGCTTCCTGCAGATACCATAACTTGAAAGTCAGAATTTACAACCATCCAGAGAAATCCCATCCAACAAACAAAGGTACTACATAGTCTACATTGAATTGTTGACAAGTGACAAAAAGAGTATCAGATCACCTAGAAGTAAAGTACAACAAAACCATGCGATGATTATCACTTGTTCATAAAAGACCGTACCTGCTCATCAAGGTTGCCTGAGGAATGCACAGCATCCATAGGCAAATTGTTTGTAAGTCTCTCCGTCGGTTCAGATAAATGCTGCACAAGAGGAAGGCCTAATTTTTACCCTAAGACAGATAAACCTACTACAGATTTTCAGAAGGGAAAAAATGTAACCAGAACAAATCAATTTTCGTAGCCAGATATCAAGATATAACTACTGAAGTTTACTTTCTGTTTAACCAAAGAGATGGCATGCTCAATGGGCAAGCACAGAAGTAAACCGCAAGTAAGGTCGACAGAGAGCAGTGTGGATCTGATGAATACTAACATGTGATGACTGCCAAGACATGTCTAGGAAGTTGACACACAACCAACCCTCAACCTGGTGCAGAGCTTCCAGATCATATACATCAAATTGTGGTTTGATGGTTTTTAAATGTTAACCTAGTCATCTCAGAACCTAGACATGATGTTTTTTTAAATCATGCTCCAAATGGAAACTAATGAATTAAAAATCTGCCAACAACCCAACCATCATCTCCCCTCCCCCCCTAAAAAAAAAAAACCACCACCACCAAAAAAAAGCCTAATGATGGTTGAGGTAGCAAGTCACAAGTTCTATACGTATAAAAGTTGAAAAGTAAAATCATTGACAGTTCAACAATATTGTAGAATTGAGAACATACTTCCTCATCTGGAATACCAGAGTCGTTCTCAGTTCCTTCAGTTACAGTCCTAGAAGGATCTTCAGGAGTTCCCTGCATAAGCCACAAAGTGGGTAAGAACTTTCAGCCAAACTTGTTCTTTTCACAGAACAGAAGTCGAATCATACAGGACCATCCTGGTCGCCAGAAAAATTTTCACCCTTAGGGATTGAAGCTTTAATATCAATTGGTGTTTCCTGCATATCACACACAAATCATTAAATAAATCAATCATGCCAAACTACTACAAAATAATAATTGTTGGGCGCAGATCCAGCTTTGAGCTTGCCATGCAATGCAAGTATAAGAATACAGATGCACAACAAAATTATGGACCTGTCTTCAAAAATTAAGAAGCAATAAACCTTCCAAAAATATGGGGTTGTAGTAGGCATCACTCATTAAACATACCAGTTGAAATTGTTTCAAAGGAAGATTCCTCACTCCCTTGCTGAGATCTCTTAATGTTCCCTGCATGTTCAATAAATGGTGATGTGAAAAAAAAAACACAAAAAGTAAAATAAATAAATAAAAGGAAAAAAACTTAGCTATGATTTGTCACAATGACAACCTAACAACAATAATGCGCTCGCAATCAGAAGGCAAGATTGCGAAAGAATAGAGTTTAATTTGGAATTGGAGGGTCAGAAAGCTTAAGTCTTTTTGTAGTAACCTATTTCAAAGAGAAAAATCAAATTGCTTAAATAATAAGAGAATGGAACACTGATAACAAGATATAAATGGCATACAACAGAACTCTTCCAATAATTGAAATAATTTATCCAGAGACTGACTATGGCTTCAGCCACAGAAACCAAATGCAGCTTGGAGAATGAATTACCTCACAATACTAGCAGAACCCACCCTAGTAACATGAGCTGCTAGGTTTTCTTCATGCTAGCAAGCATATCTCAATAAAAGTGCCTCTAACATCTTCAAAATTGATGTAAAAACTGGCTCTTATGTTCCTATTTTCAGGGAGTGATCATCTACGCTAACAAGTGACTGAATTCAGCGTGCCTAGCAGTACCCTCAGAAATTCAATTGGAACTTATCGAGGAATTAACAAAAACCCTACAGGATCAGCTTTCAAAATTCAAAAAATTAGCCATAAATTTGACTCATCCTAAGAAAGTAATACTAGTCACCATGATATTCACAAGTCATTCTGATCATCAGGATCGTACATCCTGGCCACCATTTTGGCAAGCAATTTAATTAACAGAACTCATGGCAGCATATATGAAAGGTACAACATTTATAAGCACGTCAATCAGAGCCTCCCTCAGCCTCACAAAGAAGGCTAATACCCTGGTCCTAAAGTTAATTCGCACCCAGACATTCTGAATACATATCCACTCCTTCAATTAAATTCATATTCCACATGCATCGAAGCCACAAAAAAAAATAAAATAAGAAACTGATACTGATTGCTTATTAATCTACCTTAAAAACACAAAAGAAACAGCAACTGACAAGCAAGACTAAAGCAAGCTTCTTTGCCAAGAAGTCCCAACTACAGGACCTCAAAAATATTGAAAGAAGCACAGTTTAACCGAAATAATACACACCTTATTTGCCCACATAAGCCCACACGCGTTGCAGAGTGTCCTTGGTCCAGCTGGCCCACGACGCATAGCAGGAGTAGCATTCTCACTAACACCACAATGTTGACATCTCCGAAGACTTCAAAAATCAAGAAAAAGAAGGCAGAAATAAAACCAAGTATAATAATCCATGGAGTTTAAATTATGACAGCAATGAAGTAAGTATGCAGTTGCTAAAATAGCAAAATCACATTTACATGAGAACTCACACGGTTTCCGGATGAGGTGTTCCACCCCCCTGGGGCCAACTCTTTCCAGGATCCCAACTAGAAGACCCTGAACTGTGTTTCAACGATGCAAATTGACCATTCTTGCGGTGCATTCTAAAAATATACATGAAGAACAATCAACTTAGAAATATCATCACCACCTCTGCAGGAATTCTTACTTTCTGTTGGAAAAGTAAACCAAAGTCAATAAAGATCTACTACAACATTTGCAACTCAGGTTAAGAAGAAAAGCTCAAAAAGGAAGAGAGCTTCTCCTGTTTTCCCATCACGTATATTACAAACTATGGATGCATGTGCTTGTATTTCAGTACTTTCAACTCTCACATTTCATGCCCCGTAGCCATATATGAGTTTCCTTGCATAAACACCACAAGTTCTTACTATCTAACCCGCCTAGATTTTGCTTTTTTCAACTTCTTGTAGTAACAAACATGACCTATGTCCATAGGCAAATAAAAATAGCTAAGAAAAAAAAAAAGGATTCCTTGCACTCGTAAAAGGTGATAAGCATGGAAAATTGGGACAATTTCATATAATTATATAAAAAGGAAAATGCAAGATATGTAAAAAAATATATACAAAAAAAGAAATAGGCAAGTAAGGATAACAAATACTGATGTTTATTAGCAAGAAAAGAAGTTCCTTATTCTTTGCTGCGAACACTCGAGAGTATAAATGCATACTGGGCGCAGATCCACTACATAACGAATGCAATAGATATAATTTATAGCATCCAAATTTTAGTTCCAACGGTTCAAGACTCAATACAACAATTTTACATTCATAGTGGACATAGGTAACTACCTTCAAAACTTGAAAATGCATAACATGATCCACTATCCTTTTTCTCGACCTTCTACTCCTATTTCTTAGCAGAAAAATGCAGAACACATCCAGAACATCATAACTGACAATGGACATAAAGTATATGAATGAGAACCAATCACTAAAATTCCTCTTAAAAACTTGCTAAACAAAAATATGCCATTGTCACAATATGCTCCACCACAATAATCACAATGATATGTGGCTATGTTATTAAGTATTAACTTCTTTTCTGGCCCAAAGAACATCATATTAAAGCCCATACAGAAGAGGCACTGGATTAGTACAATAATGAATTGACAAGTCCAACTAGAGCTTGAAAGCAAAGGCCCATATAGAACATACAACCAAGTTCTTTTCACAAAAATCAGAATTAATCTCATGCATTTTATGACTCAAGAGAACAGCCTGAAGATTGAACTCTCAGAGCACTTGGTATCACCTATAAAATACGAATACAGTCTGGCTTATGCAAAAATTCTAGAGACAGCCTTTGTCATCCTGCAAATCTATCGTTTACTCTTCTAGAGAGATTATTCCATATAATAGGGTCAATGAAACTTGGAGAAATCAAAAAATGAAGTGTTGAATATTCTTACCTCTGAGCAACCTCCTTTCGGACGTTATATCTGATTTTCTTGTCAAAGCATCTCTCTTTTCTTTTTTCACGAAATCTAACAAGAGAGGCTATTCTTCGTGAAAGATTTGACCTTGGTGGTGTGTCTTCCATACCCTAGGAGTGGCATTGGTGGATAACGCATGAAAATTTACAGAGCAAATAAATAATAGCCAAAACATTTTCAATTACAGAATTACCTTTTTATTTGGTTCATAAGGAACATTGACAGTGGGCACATCAGTCGGTATTTCAGGCCCGCCCAGAAGCAAAAGCACTGCTTGCACCTATTGTGTAGAATCACTCAAACCACACATCGCGTCAAGATAAAAATATATTCAACTGGACATGATTCATAAGCAACAAAAAAGCCAAAAAAAAAAAAATTCCTCGTGTTTTGGGTTGTGGGGGTGGGGGGTTTAATGGCGCAAGTGTATGACAGGTTGAGAAATAATATATATCCAACAGAACAAAGAAACACACACTTATATATGTGTGCTATAATAATTTGGAGGCAACTGGAACAGCTAGTCAACTAAATATCAAACCCATCGATAAACTGAAGCACTAAGGAGATACCAGGCCGAATAATAAACAGAAAACAAAGGACAACTCTGAACAACATACATGGCATGAACAGTATCAGACGAAGATTCTGCTCCCCAATAAAGAAACATACGAATATTCTCACGTCATAACCTTTACAAAAATGGTAACAAAAAGTACACCTACTCAGCCATATAAAACAAAATTACACATATCAAATTCCAACCAAAAAAAAAAATTCCAACCAAAAAATCTTTATACCTAAAAGAACAAACCGGAAAAAAATCATCATAGAATCAAAGAAAAATTCGCAATTCTGTACAACAAACCGAATTCAAGCAAACTCGAACTAATCTCCACCTTCAATTCAACAAAACTTCACCGAAATAAATATGAATTTACTTTTAAAAAAAAAAGAGAATTAAATCGGGAACTGAAAACCTAAGATACCTTCTCGGGTTTAACAGCGGGGAAAACATAGACCTCGCCTTCGAAAGCGAGAGTGAGCTCACTGGTCCTCGAGGCCACCACAACACCACCTCTGTGGTGGTTGGAAGCATTCACCGAGGTCACGTGATCATCCTCAGCCTCATCCATGGTATCATCATCATCATCATCATCGTCCTCGTATTCTTCGTCATCGATGCGTAGACGTGGCACTTCCCCGTGATTTTCGTACGGAAAACGCGTCTGTAAAGGCCTTGGATTCACCGCCTTCATTTCACCAACCAATCTCAAACACCATCAAAATTCAATCAATTCAATCCTCTTATATTCATAATCACAACCTGCTTCATTAAAAACAAAATATACAATTCAAAAAACCTAACCCTAGGTGAGCTGAATTGGATTGGACTCAAGTGAACTAAGGTTTAGTTATAAGCGAGTGAGTGAGAGGGAGAGAGAAATGGCGAAGAAGACATGGATCGACAGTCATACCTAAAATAGCAAAGATTTGCAGGGGATGTCCTCTGTCTCTGTGTTTCCTTGAAGAGACTCAAAAGTGGCAATGAAAGTTGAAACTTTCTGAAACATAACGAATCCACATGTCGGACAAACTACCATACCCAAATTCTTTCTTACTTATTGATTTCATATCAATAAGATTTTTAAATCACTCTACGATACTAAAAATTAAACACTAATTATAGGATATTTGTATTTTAAATAATATTTTTTTTGTTTTAATTACACCTAAAATACTTGTTACTCGTGTGGTTTAAGTTATAACGAAAAATTGAACAATAACTTGGACAAGATCCACGTTACTATTACTACTAATTCATAACAGAAGATATAAATTGATATTTTTATTGTCCGATGGTGCAAATTGATAATCCAAACATTTTTTAGGGTATAGAGTGAGATTAATCCTTAATTATATTATTTAGAATTAAAGCGAGTCGAGATAAAAAAAGATAGGTAAATATAGATGGATTACTGAAGTTGTCTGATATTAAGAAGTATGTTGATTGAGGTATTTTGCATTGAAAGTCGTGTATAGATTATGATATTTATAAAAAAAAATAAATAAATTTAGGATGAATTTTATACAATTGAATCGAACTAGGTAAATGAATTAATCTCCATTGTTGTTATTAATTTATAATTTAGTGTGTAAATAATAAAATATAATATAAAATTTGTACATGTATCCTAATTCTTTTTTTTTTTTTTAAACGGGGGTATCTTATAATTGTTGAAGAATAAGAGTTATGATATAGAAAATTATTTTTTTTTGTTAACCTAATTACAACCAACGTGTCGAGAATATTTATTTTTTTATTTCAAATGTTAGCATCTTAGAGGATGTTCGAATCAATTTACAGATATCTCAATTAATTTTTTCTCTATTATGGTTAAAAAAAGGATTATACATAAAAAAAACTAATATATTTATAAAATATAAATCTGTTATCGTGCGACCTTATTGAGTTAAGGTGTGTCAAAGAATTTTCTCTTTAATTATAAAAAGTTTAAAAGCTGATATGATCTAGAGAAACGCGGGTGTACCAAACATGGTATTGTGCCCTCATGGTGCCCGTTCGTTTAAAGAATCAGAAGTTGGACCACAAGCTATTAATGGTTGATTGGGGTAGATCACGGCTACTGGAGGAAATATTGGTGGGACCCCAGGGGCAGTGGATTAGAAGGTGATCTAGTAGACATTGTGTGACGACTCTATAGAGTACAAGAGTGGGGGCACATATCTATTGTAATGATGACAAGATTTTTGGAGTGGAATTTCTGTTACTAAGTCTCGTTGGGAGAAAATATATGATTGGTTATTAGGTACGAGCATGCATTCGTGGTATATAATACCAATCAAGAGTGGTCATGTCAATGAAATATCAAGCAATCTCATAAAAATGTCATGTCATCTATATAAGTTAACTCAATTAATAGGAATAATGTTTTTGTGATTTCTCTCTCTTTTACCTTTTTTCACTTTACTGTATATCTATCATTTCATATGTCATTCATTCATTGCTTCTCCAATTTTTTTTTATCTCTGAATTTTCTCATAACTATTCAAACTTTACTTACTCAACAATCAGAAATCAAAATTTGAACCCCGCCTATATGTTTGAATTTTGGATTTCGATTATAATAAGTAAAATAGAGCACTCAAGATTTTTTTGAGATGATTTTCATTGTTTCTCTCATATTTTTGTCTTACAGTACTAGAGCTTCACGGTTCATGCTTTCATCTATGTTCTAAGTGTGTTTCCATGTATATTTTGATGGTTTCATCATGATCAATGGTTGCTGGAGTTTGGAGTTGCAGTACTCTTGATGCTTCAATGGTGTCAAGGCAAACGAAGACATGTGTAATACAACTACTCTTGCTAGAGTTTGGAGTTTTTCCGCCCCATTCTTTTATTTCTTCTCATTTCCTCCCTTTCTCTTCTCTCCCCTTTATTTCCCTCCTCTTCCTCACCGTTACGCGTTTTGCACCCATTTCTATCCATACTTATAGTGAATCCGTTGAGGCAAAAGTGAATCTGCTCCTGTGTAAGGAAAGGAAACTTAGATTGGATTTTGTTCACCAAGTGTTCGATGAATTGTCTATGTAAAAGTTGCTCTGTTTTGGACATTTGACATGCTACCCACGATGAAGCTAGTTTTGTTATGTTGGGAGACATTGAGTTGCTGCCTCTTAGAAGGATTGAATTGCAAATTGTACGCTTGTTTTGGAACTCATTCAATTTTGTAAATGGTAAAACAATGAAAAAGAAAAGATTACTTTTGCCTTTGGATTAATATGATGCCAAATTGAACATGCTTGTAGAACTTTTATGTCTGAAGTGAAAGTCCTGGATTTGTATCACACATGTAAAACCTGAAAAGCTGTGAGATGTTATGTGAGAAGGATTGGTTTCTATATTTTTCCTTTCTTTGTTTTTTTAGATAATTTAGTTCATATTTACATTCATATATATTTGGGATGTAGTGATGCTTGAAGCATGTTTGATGATATTCCAAATAGAAATGAGAAAGTAGTTGTAAAGTTGTTTTATAAAGGATATTTGTCGGGTATGAATTGGATTAATCATGGAACCCATTCAATAATACTCTATGCTTGGGTTTGAATGAATCAATCCCCATTTACTAATCCCCATTTGAATGAATCCGTTCAAAAAATTCAGCAATTGAGTTGTATTGAATTAATCAATCCCCATTTACATCACAAGTTATGGCTTTAATCCTTCAAAACATTCAACCACCAATAGAATTGCAGCAAGATTTTCTTAAAAAATCACAGACCAACAGACCCCACATACCAGCCGTAGCTTCAGGTCATCCATTAGGCAATACTCGTTGATCTTGTCTCCATAACAAACCAAAAACAAAACTACAAAGACATATTCACATACAAAACTACAAAGGAGAAGTCTTGCCATAACAAAACTATATTTCTTTTCCAATTCCAATGATTGTACACAATCTCAGCACAAAGATTGGTAAGCAACTAATGAAATCTGAACAACATCTCCAACCTCCATTTTTTTTTCCAAATAAATCAACACTTTATTTTATGTTTAAAAAATCAATTACAAGAAGCAACCACTCAAGTGTACAATGAATCAATCAGCATTCCTAAGTTTCTTTGCACCTTGTTGATCATGAAGCAGGAGCAACTTAGCCTAAGGAGGAAGGGACATTGCTTGTGAAAAATCCAATGAGATGCAGATGCTCCAGAATTTCAAGAATCTGCCCAAGAAGCTGCCAATATTTCCATGCTCGCCTATGCCCCAGTAATATCATTTTCACCATCACCTTAGAATCTGCTTCAATGGGCTGATGCTTTGGGTTATTTAACTCCAACATAGAATACGTTGGTGAGAATTACAAATGTTTCCAACGAGTACAATACATGTCACCCTTTACACCGCACATGTTGAAAGACCATCTAGATGAAGTGATGAACACTTGAATCAAGGAAAAAGTTGCCCCCTAAAAAAATTGAAGAGAAGTACTAGGAAACTAAAGCACAAGAGAAAGAAATGACCTAAAAAAAGAAAAGGACTCTGGTAGACCAAAGTCTACTTGGTATTCTTATCACACCCTGTCACCTAGAAATACTTTCGTTCAATTGAATCAAGTTGATTTATCTAATCAAGATGACTACCAAGTTGTAGAAAAATATCATGTATATTTAAGTACTTATTTAAGTTTAAGCAACATGAAATTAACTCATGAATATCACCGAGCATTCATCATCAAGCTGAAGCAAATCTAACAAAAACTTCATGTTTTAAATTTATTTCGCACTGGCAATTCGTCGAACAATTTGCAAACCAACTTGTTCTTCCAAAACAGAAGTGGCATAGAGAGAGGGACAAAGAGATGTAAAATAATCTCTAGCGGACTGTCGAAGGGTACAAGAAGGAAGGAGAAAACGATAGAATGGGGATGGATGATACAGAAGTTCAACAAAGAAAATGAATGAGAGAAATATAGAGACTTGCGAAAATCTTGACCAAAGGCAATGGTGGAACCAAATGTTGTGACTGGCGACGGGATCGACTGTTGTGGCTGACGGATTGATCAGCTAAATTTAAAAATTAAAAATATTCATTAATTTTTTCAATACACATTGCACTCACGCACACATGACTTCCTCATGGACCAACACATATACACACTAGCCCACACATGCACAAACGTCGGACAAAGACTACACTTGCACACAACACCTGTAAAGGCCAAAAGCAACACACATGCAACACCACTTACCAAGGGCAACACCCAAATGGAAAAATCCAAGAAAACAATACTTGTGTAAAACAATTTTACTTGTCGAAAAAAATGGCCGTTCGAAAATATTGTTAGAAATGGAGGAAGAGACATGATGCCTTTAGAGAGAGTGAGAGTAAATTTTGAATAGTTATGAGAAAATTCAAAGATAAAGAAACTTTTTGGGGAAGCTGACGAATGAAATGATAGATATATAGTAAAGTGAAAAAAGGTCAAGGAGAGAGAAACCAAAAAAAATGTTACTCCCGTTAACTGAGTTAACTTATGTAGATGACATGACATCTTTCTGACATTGCTGACATTTCATTGACATGACCACTCTTGATTGGTGTTATGTACCACGTATGGATGTCATGCTGGTACCTGATAAACACTCAATATTTTCTCCTAAATTGGTATGGGATGGTGCTACAACTTTAGAATTGATCACTCAAGTGCAGGTTGTGCGAAATAATAAATTTCTTGAGAGTTCAAGGTCGAACCACAGGGAATTGAAAAAACAAGAGACACAAAACAAATAAAAACCAAACTTGTAAGAACAATTTATTTAAGAGATTGTTGAGTTGAGAAAATATTGATTGGAGTAATTAAAATAATATAATAAAAATACTAGAGCATCAGGTACTCTCTCTCAATTCCATACAATAATGATTAAGGACTCAAAACTTAATTTGGAACAAGAATCAGATGTCATTGATTCAAATAACAAATCAAGTAAGAAAACCAAAAGTTATAATCAAAAGATTATTTAGGAACCTGAATAATCATCCAATTATATTATTTTATAAAATAATGATAATTACCTCAAGCATGAAATAACCAGTTATTTACTCGCAGAAAAATTTAAGCAATCGATGTACATGACACAACAACTCAAGAATTTTTACAGAGAAAAAATTTTGCTATAAGATCAGAAGTTAAATTAACAAAATATCATAAATCATTAAACTCAAAATCAATAACATTACCGTACTTCATTAAGAGGTTCTCCACTAGCCCTAACTTAGCCTTATAGCTAGACATAACAAACTAAAACTAGAAAAGAAAAGATGAGAAAAGAATCATCCTCTAAATCCTAGATGAAAACTCTTATTTATACTAAAAAAAAATCTTAAGTATAAGTAGAAGATATAAGGTTGGCTTAGAAGGAATTTTTTTCCAAAGAAAAATCTTGTAAGGTTAAATCCGGTACATAAAATTTTTGGGGCGCAAGTACAAAATTTATCTAGACTTTGAGCTTGAATTTTGTATATTTAGAGGCTAAATCACGAAATTTTCGTGAAATACACTTTTGTAGCCCTTGGAATCTTCTTTCCAGCCCCCAAAAATCAAGTAAATCGGATATCAAAGTCAAAAGTTATGACCATAATACTGAAAATATGTCAAATCCTTATTCTTATAGGATATCTTCCTAATCCAACTTTAAATGAGTTTTCTTTCATCTTGAACTCTTATAAGGATTAAATTGTTGTCATATTTTTAAGTCTTCCTATCAATATTGACTCTTCAATCCTTATTAGTTGTGATTCTTCCTCTAGTGGTTGATTTACTTACCTTATCCATTATTACTTTAAATTAACCAATTTACCTGTAAAATAAATCAAACAACTAAAAAAAGTATCAAACTAAAAAATCAAGGAATTCAACATATTAATCACAAATAATATGCAATTAACCAATCATTAAATATAATAAAATAGCAATTTTTATGGTTAATCAGATGGGATGGTGCCTACAGCCACGTGTTAACTTTTTATCGATTATTAGAGTTGTTAATTCGACCTTGGCTTAAGATCGGCTCGGGTTTGGTTCGTTCAGACTCGATTCATTTTTTAAATGAGTCCGAATTTGAACAAATTTCAGACTAGTTTAAAAAATAAGCCCTACAAGCTCGACTCAAACTCGACAAGTTTAACTCGTTTATGTGCAAAATACTCCAACTCGGCTCGGGCTTGATTTGTTTTTGGCTCGTTCAGGCTCGGCTCGTTTCTTAAATGAGCCAAATTTGAACAATTTTTAAACTCAATTAAGAAATAAATTTTTTAAATTTGGTTCGAACTCGGCTCGGACTTGTTCGACTAACAGTCCTACTGATCACAATAACTATATTTTTGTTATTAACGGACGTTCCGGGCTGTGCGCGGAATTTATACACCTGTCTTACTCCGAATCATTCCTTTTCATGCTTTCGATCTTTTTCTTTTGGGGATCACACAATATGAATAATTCAATAATTATTAAAATTTATAAGAGATTGAAACTAATTTATAACCTAATTTTTGAATGAAGGAGAAGGATTGTTAATTAGTAAGATAGTGAAAATATGGTTTTATATTAATCAAATGAAGGTTATTGATTGGATAATACTAACCTTTATAATTAATTAAATAAAAATTTTAAAAATTAAGAAAAATCCACGTTGAGTCGCATTTATATTATGAATTATCAAATTTGGTATAGTGTATTAATGAATTTGAATCAGGTCCGCATAAGCCTAAATTCTCATTCAAATTATTGTGACAAATTCAATTTGACCTCCTATTGATTTAAAAAATAAATGTTAATTAATTAAGGTCCAAATGATCATCGACCATTTTTACTTAACTTAGCCTAAGCTTGACTCGGCCAAAATAATGTCCAAAAATTTCCTTGCATTTATTGGTTGGACCAACCCATTCGATGTTAGGTAATTGATGCTAAAAAAAAACTCAGATCACTAAAAGATTATTGGTGTCACAATTTTTCATACCAAAATCCTCAATATGATCATGCCAATAAAGACTAGAATAAATGATTAAAATTTTGATTTCATCACTAATTCGTTTTAATTTTTTTTGAAAACAAGAATGTATTGAGCAAAATTTTGATCTTTTTTTACTAGAATAGGAAATCTTTACTACAATGATTTGTTTTGATCCCTATCTCTCTAGGGGTCTGATCGTGGAACTACAGAATACATCCATATTGGAGTGGAAAGATGCCTAAGCAAGCCTCACTAGCCAAATAACAAGCAATAAAATTTTTTGGCAACAACCTTGTGTACAAAACACACTGACCAACAAAATTCAACACAAAAAGCTCACTAGGCTAATTATAAAGGCAGACAATCGTATCGCTTGACCCGACAACACAATTCAAATCATATTTGCTAAAGCTATACAGTTGCAGACATATATAGACAACCCAGGAACAACCACAACATCGATCCATCAACTCACTCAGACCAACTTCCCAAGACTCAATCAAGGGTCCTCCTCCATCCCATGTTAGTGTCCTGAACAACTCTAAAACCAAAATCAATGTCAAGAACGTGTGTGTCTCCTCTTTTACTAAAAGAGCAGAAAACAAGACACTAATCTACGTAATTAGGGAGGTGAGCCAGATTGATCAAAAACATAGTCCGACTTGCATGAGTAAACCATATAGCCAATAATAATTTCTTAGCGCTTAGCTACTACGTATAAGCTTAAATCTGCTCTTACAAGAAAGTAAGTAATCTCAAGGCCCAGGCATTCATCCAATGCTCACTTTTAGGCATGGCATTAGCCTATTTTCACAAGTCAAAAACCCTAATCCGTGCGCTGATCCTTCAATTGTAGGAACACACACACTAAAAAAAACTTGACCAACAAAAGATTGTCATAAAGCAGCCTCAAACTCCACATTCATTACATGTTGGGTTTGACTAATATCCCAATTGGAGTTAATTTAGCGTCTCTGTTTCCCCACAATTCCAAGGATTTTAGTTTGAACATAAGTAGAAGGAAAATGTAACTGCAGGATTATCATATGATACTTTGAAAGGAAGAGCACCCGAAGTAAATATCATGCAAAGTACCAGAAAAACAAAGATATATAGCCTCATATATTGATTGAAGACACGTCTGTACAGTTGATAAGACAAGCCAGAAGAAAGTACTAGAAAACTCTCTATTAGTCAGGATGATGAGAGCAACTAGTGTGGCCAATCTGTTTGAAAGCTTGCCAAGTTAATGCCCAGCAACTAAAGCTGAGTTCTCGCCATCCGAGAAAGCAACGCTATTGGTGTGTGGGTCGGACTGGGGTTCTAAATTCAGATTCATCATCACCTTCATCCTACATAAAAGGAAAACAAAAGAAGAAAGGGGCCAAATGGAAGAACCAAAGTTACATTGCAGAACGAGCACAAAGCCAATCAATAGCAAATTCAAGCCGTATACATCCTCTACACTAGGCAATGTACATACCTCTTCAGCTGGAGTCAGAGCGCCATCATGCAATTTCCTCGAAAGATCCCTCAAGATCCCCTGCAGTGTTTCATCTTTTGAAAATTAGATACACAAAATTCAGTAGTTTACAAATGAGGAGGCATATTAAGGTTCAATTATTTAGTGCATATTCACAGCTAATGTCGAGAGAGAATGTATAAAATGACTCACACAAATGGATGAGTTAAAGGACATCCCTTGCCACCACATTCAAGGTGAAAAACAATCTTGTTCCTCGGAAATCAAATTTAATTGAAGGTAAAACACTGCCCAAACTTCAATGCAATTCAAAAGGTTTTCTTTAATGAAGAACTACCTAAGCCCGAGGAGTGGACATTTTGGCATGTATTAAAAAAATTTTGTGATCTTTGATTTCTTACATCCTTTTCAAATCGCCTATTCAGTTGGTCTTGGCCCTCCCCCCAAAGTTTCACTAAGAGGTCCTAGGATCACCTCCCCTACTCCCCCTTGGGGCCAGCCATTATTCTAAGTTTATCTTTGGGCTTTAACCTGCGCAATGACCTTACTTGTGTCAAGGAGAGTAGTCGCCTGAAAACTTGCATACAACTGTGGTAGAAAAGGAAAAGAATTGCCTAACTAGAAAATAGTCAAAGAGGCATGGCAGAGAATAGTTGCCCGGAAAGAAAAACCTATGAGTGAGAGAGAGAGAGAGATCATAACAAAGCAAATAAGACGACCAAGCCTGTTTGAGACAGCACTTCCAAATTCCTTGACAGCATAATCATCAACAAAATACAACCTTTGCAATCTAAATAAGATAAGAATGGTAAAGTTGGTGTTTTCTTTTCAAAACAAATTACAAAAAGTGATAGAGATATCTTAACAAGAACAATTTTGCCCATCCAAAACAGGAATGCATATCATTCAAGCAGCTATGGATAGCCAGCACAGAGAAATTACGTAATATGATAAATAAGAAGATCTGGAAGTTACCTATCTATCCATATATATATCTATATTACAAATAAAAGTACCTTATCATAAAAACTTTTAATTTACTACTTTGCCCTTATAAAGAATTATAAAGATCACACTTCCATAGTTAAATAAATTACCATCATATCTTTATGTATTTAAATCTCCAAATTAGATTTAACAGTTTTTTAATTATATATTTTCTATGTATAAATATCAGTTTTTATGAAACTTTTTGATTGACTATATTAATCTTAGAAAATAAATGAATCATTATAATTTCTAATAATATGTTCAAAAAACCTTCAAAAACTCCATCAATCTAACATTCCTTATCTCATATGCAAAGATAATATTATGCTTACATTTATATATTCTTTTTCATCAAAAAGTTTAACCTTGCCATTTTTTTAAAGTTAAAAATTAATATATTATATATATATATATATATATTAAAAATTGAGAATAAATATTTCTTTTTATTGTTTTTATGCCATTTTTTTAAGTTAAAAATTAATAGAACATACAAAGTTTTCATAATTTTATAATGGAGTATGGGAGATGAAAAAATAAGTATGGTAAACCTGAGATAATATTTAATTTAGATATGCATACACCTAATACCTTTTATTAATTTTGTGTGCGAAAACTATTCACATGCAACGCACGTAATCATTGCTAGTCCTAAAAAAGTATACTACTAAATATTCACTCAATCCATCACTCAACCACAAAGATTTTCAAGCAGAAAATGTCAAGCCTCATTAAGCACTAAATTAAAAAGCGTAGATGTTTATGTGTGCATTACTTATACCCCAAGGCAAATATACTTAATCAATAACGAGGGAAGAGACCAACCCGGTTTGCCCAAACGAGCCCACATGCATTGCAAAGAGTCCTTGGACCAGCTGGCCCTCGCCGCATCATTGGAGTCGACTTTGAACCAATGCCACAATGAGCGCATCTAAGCAGAAAAGACAGATGATCCATGTTGTGTCAGAAGTTAATCCTAAAGTTTGATTTCAGACATTAAGTACTAATAAGAATAGAACCGAGTCAAATTTTAGATGGCAATAAAATAGAACTAATCCTTAAACAGGAGAAATGCAAGTCCAACTCTAAGAGACGCATCCAATTTCAAAGCTTAACTGTGCACCCAACCCACCCAAACCAGCACCTCACATTGGTGGGAAAACACTTGGTAGTAGCATTGAGGGTGTATTATAGGGTCTATTAATGAGTTATACCGGATTAAAACGCTTTAATATGAGTTTATACTACATTTAGATGCAAAAAATCAATTCGAATTATAGGTGGGATTAACTAGATAAGTATCATATACGGATATCAACAAGCCTTTGGTCCAATGGTATTCCTTACCTTGTGAAGACTTTGCCTTCTTGAGGTCAAAAGTTCAAGTCCCTCCTCCCCTCTACCTCCCCCCCACCCCAAACAAAAAAAAAAAGGTATCATATACGGATAATTCTAATACAATATATCCGTACTATTAAGCTATATTAATACCACCGGGAGAGGTGGTATATTATAATACAACTTAGGTGTATTATATCGTTATTTTACAATTTTACCCTCAATTTATGAAAAATTCATGTAATTATTCCTTCTTATTTATTTTAATAAAAAAGACATTCAGACTTTATAACAAATCGACCCTTAAATTTTTTACAATGACTCGATGTTCCCCTCATATGGACAACCTATAAAAGATGCACCTCATTTACCGTTCAAATGAATAATAATAAATAACGACATTAATAATAAATAAATGAATATATCCAAAATAGACTTACACAATTAAAAGCATGCTTGTTTAATTCCAACACTATTTAAAAACATTCATAATAAATAATATTTACATAACTTTTGGTTCTATATATAATCCTACGAAATATTGAATCACTAAAAGGGATCAAATTGGAGATGACTAAGAGCATTTTAGTCCACTTATTTAATATCACTGAATAAATTACCTAACCAAACATTATATTGGACTTTATTCTTATTATCCAACTCTTAATACCGTACTTAACAAACGCTTGACTAAAATTAGTATTATCTTTATCCTCTGGTTAATCTTAGATTTTATCCATCTATCTAGGATTGTCCAGTATTCCCTAATACAATCTCTCTTTTCTTAATGTAGTATCCAAAATAGCTAAAATTTAGCTAATCAAAGCCAAAAATCATGCTCCAACAGATGTTGTTCACTAAAATAGATTTTTCCTACAGTGATACTTTATATTTAGAGTATCACTGTAGGAAAAATCTATTTTTCCTATATTTTATATTATTTTCTCTCTCTTTCTCTCATTTCTTCCATTCTCTCTCTTTCTCCCTTTCATTATTCCCAAAAAAAAAATAATACAAAAGAAATGAGAAATAATATTTAAAAGGAGTAGTTAAAAATATAGAAAATCTGTTAGAGTGTGTATTGAAAAAGTGAGCAGTTAAAATAGATAAAGTTGCTTTTTGGGTAGCTAAAATACAATTTATTGGTGGAGATGCTCTAAAAGAACACAAAAAAAAGCAAAAAATACAACCAAAGGGATGTAAAAGGCAAAATAAATTATGCCTACTAAATGCAATACATCAAGAAAGAATAGACCCCTTCAATATGATACAGAACTCACGAAGTTTCGGGAGGGCTCTCATCCTGTCCTGAATCCTCAGGATTGCTGCAGCCAACAAATTCCTCAAATTTTTTGGCAGAAGTAAATTGACCCTTTTTACGCTGCATCCTGGTGTAGTAATACATGCAAATCAAGAAACGAAAGAGATCAGTAAATCATCCCAAAATGCACTGACAAGAAAGAGTAATCATACTAGCACAAAATTATGAAAAGTGGGAACCCAATACATGCTTAGAAGTAAACCGATAAATAAAACAGGAAGAAAACACATCAAAGCATAACAAGGAATGTACGAAGTCCATGTACTATTCATTCAATATGGACGGATATTGCTCTAGAGGGCATGCAACATTTTTATTCTAAAATCTAAGTCTGCTTCTCATCGGAAAGAAAATGAGATTCAAGTCTGCTCATGCACCATACGAAACAAAATGGCTATAAGCATAACCACCACAATGAAGAGATTTTGATTATCACATGGCTATTAGCATATAAACATCTAACTCAAAGCTATTATGAGCTTTAATCCACAATAAAGAGATTTTGAATGGAACAGCCACCACAAAAGAAAAATAGCTACAATTTTTACATTGCACCAATTTACGCCTCTATATTGAGAGTGGGAATAACAGCTTGTGGAGGAACAATATCAGTCTTCAGTTGCACTAAAGATCAAATCGTGGTATAACACCATTGTTCAAAATATCGGCCGATACCAATACAAGTCGGCCAAGTCGTATCCAGCTCGGCACCTTCCGAGATGATACCATTACATAATATGTATAAATGCTTAATCTCGCACGACTCGGCCAAGTTAACCGAGTTGTATCCGAGTCAATCCCAAATTATCGAGTTATCATCACCGAATTAGCCAATACGATTCCACGACACCAAGGTATGACCTGAATCTCTCGTCATGTTCAACATTTTTTTTTAGGTCGTATCGCCAGATACCGCATTGCGACGCCGCAACCGATATGTCTCAGAACTCTCCGAGTCAATGACCAATACCACGACTTTGAACCATGAACACTATCAACTCAGTTTAAATAACTCCATCCAACCAAAGTTTTCCAATCCAGCATTGTATGCAACCAACACACAAAAGTAGGGATCTTAGTGATATATAAATATGTTCTAAATCTCTTACTATGTGAGTGAACCTTATTATGTTACTCTCAATAACAAAATAAAAGAAAAAGAAAAGGATATGGGAGGAAAAAAAAAAGAGGTACTCCTCCATCATAACACTTTTTTAGAGACTATCACATCATGTAAAGTCTTAGCAGACCTTAAACATAACTTAATCAATACAAATGACAAAACATCTACATTCTAACTCAAGAATCTAATGTACTCAATCAAAGAAGTTAAATATTTTTAAAGGCTACGATAAGTTGTTAAAACCAACATTGTTGGGAGTAAATACCGTTTATTCTTTAAGAAGGGAAGGAAAATAAAAAGAACAAAAATACAAGAAATACATTATGTTGTATAACTTACAAGAAATTGCAAAAAACATAGCCCATGCAAGTAGAAATATCAATATCTAGAAGGAAAAAATAGTGTTTTATATGTAGGTGTGGAATATTGCCTAATTTTAACAATTGATCCCTCTGCCACCACTCTCATGGAGCAATGGACCATAACTGTTAATGGCTTAATGCATAAGGAGTTCACACTGGCTTCAAGAAACAATCATAGGATGAGTCATAAATTGCCCCAAATTGTTTAAAGACCTTGCAGATATTTTGGTTTTAGAAGCACATGAGAAAGTTAATGCAAAGCTCCTTCATACCAAATCAGTTTATCTGTTATATGAGCTTGGTAAAACACCAGGAACTGTGACAAAGTGTATCTTTTTATGGATGTTAAACAGGACTTAATTCGATCATTACTTCTCATAAACACTGAAAGCGTGTGCAGAAAAACCCAATTCCATTTATTCCCAATACATCATAAGTTCAAGGAATCACTTGCACACCTGAGTGCGACTTCTTGGCGGACATTATATCTGATTTTCTTGTCAAAGCATCGCTCTTTTCTCTTCTGCCGGTACTTACTCAGAGAAGCAGCTCTCTGTGGATCACTACACCGCGTGGGATAGTCCATCGTACCCTACATCAAAACGCAGTCAGAACCCTAAAAGGAACCAAAAGCAAATGTGACAATAATTAATCTCACATGGATGAGAACACACCCTCTGATTCTGATATGCTAATTCTCCACCAGGTACGCCTGGAGAAAATTCACATCCACCCAAAAGCAATAGCACAGCTTGAACCTGTAATAATCAATCAAATCCTAAGCTGTAGAGTCAAAACCTTCACGGTCCTTAACAGCTGAACGCTAGATGTCTGTTTGGTTAACAGAACAGTTTGTCTTATTATGTGAAACAAACCTCAAAAATTGCAAACGGATCAATTGAATGAGGGCTTTCGATGTTTTTCTTTGCAACACAAACAAAAAAATTGATGCCAAGTTTTCCTTTTTCTCTCTTCATACAGTCCTCGGTAACGAATTACCAAACTCATACTGAATGCTCTCGTTGACTAGAAATAAAAACAATTCAGACAACTAATTTATTCAATTCGCCCCCAAAAATTAGGGAAGAAAGGCAACTAGAATTTCTTAATTTCCCCGTTTTCTCGGCAACCAAAACTTCCGGCGACTACAAATGCAGACAAAAGCCCTAAAATTCCAAACATTAAAAATAGCAATTAGAAACGTACAAAAACCCTAATTTAGTGAAATCGACACACAAATGTCAGACCTTTTCCATTGTAACAGCGTCGAAGACGTAAACTTGGCCTCGGAACGAGAGCGTAAGCTGGTTAGAAACATCACCACGCTGCACATCGGAGTCACCACCATCGGCGGCGTATACGGCTTCATGAGGGACGGCGACCTCGACGCCGTCTAAGTCACCAACTCCACCGTCTTCGAACNTCACTTGCACACCTGAGTGCGACTTCTTGGCGGACATTATATCTGATTTTCTTGTCAAAGCATCGCTCTTTTCTCTTCTGCCGGTACTTACTCAGAGAAGCAGCTCTCTGTGGATCACTACACCGCGTGGGATAGTCCATCGTACCCTACATCAAAACGCAGTCAGAACCCTAAAAGGAACCAAAAGCAAATGTGACAATAATTAATCTCACATGGATGAGAACACACCCTCTGATTCTGATATGCTAATTCTCCACCAGGTACGCCTGGAGAAAATTCACATCCACCCAAAAGCAATAGCACAGCTTGAACCTGTAATAATCAATCAAATCCTAAGCTGTAGAGTCAAAACCTTCACGGTCCTTAACAGCTGAACGCTAGATGTCTGTTTGGTTAACAGAACAGTTTGTCTTATTATGTGAAACAAACCTCAAAAATTGCAAACGGATCAATTGAATGAGGGCTTTCGATGTTTTTCTTTGCAACACAAACAAAAAAATTGATGCCAAGTTTTCCTTTTTCTCTCTTCATACAGTCCTCGGTAACGAATTACCAAACTCATACTGAATGCTCTCGTTGACTAGAAATAAAAACAATTCAGACAACTAATTTATTCAATTCGCCCCCAAAAATTAGGGAAGAAAGGCAACTAGAATTTCTTAATTTCCCCGTTTTCTCGGCAACCAAAACTTCCGGCGACTACAAATGCAGACAAAAGCCCTAAAATTCCAAACATTAAAAATAGCAATTAGAAACGTACAAAAACCCTAATTTAGTGAAATCGACACACAAATGTCAGACCTTTTCCATTGTAACAGCGTCGAAGACGTAAACTTGGCCTCGGAACGAGAGCGTAAGCTGGTTAGAAACATCACCACGCTGCACATCGGAGTCACCACCATCGGCGGCGTATACGGCTTCATGAGGGACGGCGACCTCGACGCCGTCTAAGTCACCAACTCCACCGTCTTCGAACGAGTGAGCTTCGTAGCCAACATGAGAATTATCAATGGACTCGCCGCCGCCGCCGGTTGTAGCGTCGTCTTCGCCGGCGGCGGAGAAGTGGTTTGGCACGTTCAAAGGTTGAGTGACACCGTACATTGCTGGCTTAAACAGAAATTCAATGGCCCTTGAAGCATTACAGAGAAGCTCAAAGCCTTTGCATAAACCCTAGCGCTACAGATACAGAGTGCAACACAAGTGAGTTATCTATACATATATGTGAATGTATATATGTGTGTATGTATTGGTGCAAGGGACGGTCGAAAAGAACGGTGAGAAAGTCGTGGGTTAGAGAGAGACACAGGACTGTCGGTACAGAAGGAGAGGACGGTGGGGGTTGGCGGAGGAAGAGAGTGACCTTGAATGGAGAAGGTATTTACAAGATGAGCCACTAGGTCAATGAGTGGCAAGGTGGTGTGTGACTGCGATGGTGGAGGAGGGCAGTTTCGGGAATTCGTCACTGAGGTTCGACTCTCGTGGTTTCGATTCTCCCTATGTTTGATTCTTTTCTTTGCGCTCAATGGCCAATCGTCGACTTCTGTTTTCTTTCCGCTTCCCTTGTTTTTGATAAATTATATTTTGACCCCTTTATTTATACACTGGTTTCACATTATCCTCACAACAACTGTAATATTTTTCAGCTAAAAACATTCTACATTGGTTCTCTATTCCCATACAATTCTTTATTTTAGAGATTTAACTCTTAAATATCTATCTCCAAGAGGCTCTCTATTTAAATCAGTTATAATAGAGAGTTTAATTTAACTCTCTACATTTAGAGAGTCAAACTTACTTTCTATTTAATCATTAATGAATGATAAGATGACACACATTTACTTTTTTTATTAAATGAAAAGACTATTCTCCCGTTATAACAAAGAGTCTATTGAAATTGTCTAAAATAATTTCCTCTCTATTTCAAATTTTTATCAAAAATACTTTTTATTTCAAAAAAGATTCTCTGAAAAATAAAGAGTAAGNAAATGCAGACAAAAGCCCTAAAATTCCAAACATTAAAAATAGCAATTAGAAACGTACAAAAACCCTAATTTAGTGAAATCGACACACAAATGTCAGACCTTTTCCATTGTAACAGCGTCGAAGACGTAAACTTGGCCTCGGAACGAGAGCGTAAGCTGGTTAGAAACATCACCACGCTGCACATCGGAGTCACCACCATCGGCGGCGTATACGGCTTCATGAGGGACGGCGACCTCGACGCCGTCTAAGTCACCAACTCCACCGTCTTCGAACGAGTGAGCTTCGTAGCCAACATGAGAATTATCAATGGACTCGCCGCCGCCGCCGCCGCCGCCGCCGCCGCCGCCGGTTGTAGCGTCGTCTTCGCCGGCGGCGGAGAAGTGGTTTGGCACGTTCAAAGGTTGAGTGACACCGTACATTGCTGGCTTAAACAGAAATTCAATGGCCCTTGAAGCATTACAGAGAAGCTCAAAGCCTTTGCATAAACCCTAGCGCTACAGATACAGAGTGCAACACAAGTGAGTTATCTATACATATATGTGAATGTATATATGTGTGTATGTATTGGTGCAAGGGACGGTCGAAAAGAACGGTGAGAAAGTCGTGGGTTAGAGAGAGACACAGGACTGTCGGTACAGAAGGAGAGGACGGTGGGGGTTGGCGGAGGAAGAGAGTGACCTTGAATGGAGAAGGTATTTACAAGATGAGCCACTAGGTCAATGAGTGGCAAGGTGGTGTGTGACTGCGATGGTGGAGGAGGGCAGTTTCGGGAATTCGTCACTGAGGTTCGACTCTCGTGGTTTCGATTCTCCCTATGTTTGATTCTTTTCTTTGCGCTCAATGGCCAATCGTCGACTTCTGTTTTCTTTCCGCTTCCCTTGTTTTTGATAAATTATATTTTGACCCCTTTATTTATACACTGGTTTCACATTATCCTCACAACAACTGTAATATTTTTCAGCTAAAAACATTCTACATTGGTTCTCTATTCCCATACAATTCTTTATTTTAGAGATTTAACTCTTAAATATCTATCTCCAAGAGGCTCTCTATTTAAATCAGTTATAATAGAGAGTTTAATTTAACTCTCTACATTTAGAGAGTCAAACTCACTTTCTATTTAATCATTAATGAATGATAAGATGACACACATTTACTTTTTTTATTAAATGAAAAGATTATTCTCCCGTTATAACAAAGAGTCTATTGAAATTGTCTAAAATAATTTCCTCTCTACTTCAAATTTTTATCAAAAATACTTTTTATTTCAAAAGAGATTCTCTGAAAAATAAAGAGTACGATCCGAGATGCTCTAATACTTCAAAGTTTGTTTGGAAAAACTGGATTTGGATACCCCCATTCTTAATTTTCTTTAAGTTCATGATTCACTATTGCTATTATATTGGTAAACAACCAATTTACCATATTGCAGTGGAATGATTTATTTGTTTAACTATGGACTGATGATCAGTCCTTTCAAGGAAGAAAAAGAAAGCAGCTCCAGTAATGACTAATGACCCCTCAGGGAAGTTTGCTTGTGTGGCACCATCAAGTTCCAAACAAAGTAAATCAGAACATTTTGTACGGACAGCATACACAGATTCACTACCAACAACGCAATAAACTTTTGAACATTAAGACACACATTTTCTTTGTGAGCAGCAAGCAGTAGAACTGAGGGATTTTTTTTTTTTTTTTATAGGATGTCTAGGCTTACGCTCACTACTTTTTGAATTCTGAGTTAACCATCATAATTCAAACTAGTTTAAAAAAATATCTGTCGAGAAATAAGGTAACTGACCCTTAAAGAATGTAAAAGTATCAAACCTGGACCTTATTTATAAAAGAATAGACTTGTCACCCTAAGGTTAATGTCCTTACTCTTTATGCATAGCAGGTATGGGAAGATTCTTGGAATCAATGTCTCCATTAGGTCTTATCATCATAACAGACCCAGAAAATTAATTTTGGGGACGATTACATAAAGTTTTCAAAAAAATAAAAGAGTGAGATTATAAATTTGACGGTATTTATAACTACTACCACAACAATTTTCAATTTTTTTTTTTTTGGGGGGAAGGGGGGACGGGGGTTGTAGATATATGCCAACCGCTTTGTGAAGGGTACAATAGAAATTCACAAAACTCACAGCCCATGCCTTCTAATATATGACCATTTTTGCAATTAACCAAATCGAATCAGAACTTCCAAGAATGATTCCACGTCCACCATTTTTCTTAAGTGTGTTGTGTGTGTGCACAATAACGATGACATTGGAGGCTACCAAATAAAACTTTGGTCATGATCATGTAATAATTCCAGAAAAAAAACGTGCATATTCATACTGTGATCATCTTCAAGGATTCCCAGGAAAAGCACAAGAAGAACTGGGTTCAAATGCGCACAGCCAAGTCAATAGTATGTCACAAGTTTTAATCAAAATTCTAGAAACCCACTTTGCTTCAAGAACTTCTTATCCTGACCCAACATAACTTTGGGGAAGTATGAAGCTAGCTGGCTACCACGATCCCTCAGCACCAGCTGTTGGATTCTGAAAAGCAGAGAAATTCCAGAAAGTCTTCAATGCATATGGCTGAGAGATTGTTATCTCTTCTTCTGTGATTTTTGCAATCTGCAATTTTAAAAAATCATTCATGTTAACTTTCCCACTATTTTTGTTTTCTAGTAAACAAATGCAAATTTCTTAGGTCTCCAATAGCAACATAAAAGTTCAGCAGTATTAACATGTGTCTCTAAAAGATCTCTTTTCCCCTACTACATACATAAAAGTCAAGCAATTCAATACAAACAATATATTTATTCAGATGCAACTAAACCCCTCCATGGAAAAGATTAGGTCATTCCACAAACAGAGCATATAATCAACTCTTAAATGAGGAGATATTCAAGGACCTACACTGACATGAATCAAACTACTTCCCACTACAACTACAAATGGAAAAACCACATAGATAGGGCTAAAAACTATGATATGGAACAGACAGCAAAGGCACATCATAAGTCAAAAAAGACTTGAACTCAATAAGGATTCTCTCCATAAGATACATGGACTCAAAGAGGAGTCAATAGAAACAGAGGATAAGCAGATGAGTCACAACCATCTATTTCTTCTAAAACTTTATTTTCTACACGATTTAAAGGTAAAGAAGATCTAATTTTCTGGTTGGATTCAATCAACTGAGCACAAGCATCAAAAGTACAGCGAGGTGATCACTAGTCCTGTGCCAACACAACTGCTGTCATAAGTGCTCCCATAGTAGAACTTGGAATACACTCTAATGTTACTCAAATTATCGTAGTGCACGGAAGTGCATTGACCTTGAGTATAGGCTACAATGGGAAAGGCTTAAAGAAGACAGCCAAATTGTTTACCAAATTTCCTTAATATTTCTGGAATATTTGTGGGGATGATCATCCAGACCTCTACTCCTACAGGTGATAATCTTCAAATTCAGGCACCAAATTTGAGAATTTATCGTTATGTACATCTATAAAAATTGTAGAGGAATCGTGGATATATAAAAAAAATAATTGAAGGAAAAAAAATTAAAAGAAAAGAAAAATAAAAATAAACATAATTGAGAATTGAAAGTGTAAACATTTAGATTGAGATTCTGCAGTAACGAGATCAACTGCAGTAACGAGATCAACTGCAGTAACAAGATCAAGAAAGAACAATTAAATCGTCTCTTTTGGCTTCTCACAATCCTCACACATTCAATAAAACAATACGAATTCATAGATTTTGACATAACTAGATTTTGTGACCCACCAATTAGCAGTAAACAGTTCACAGTTGATGAAATCTATGACAAAAGTATTACACATTTAAGGATAACATGGATTGCAAGAAGCCATTAAGTGAATTCTATTGAGAAAGAACCAGACCTGGAGCTTGTTGACAGCAGACCGGTCACGGTACAGAAGTACACGCATGCATTTCTCCAATAACTTGACACCATCTTCAAAACTCAAGTTTTCATGCCATTCATCGCGGAGAATAGGTCGAGAAAGGTGATTTCCATATCCAGTTGCCACATGATTGTCCTCGTAATGTACACCAATCATACTAACCTGAAAAGATGGCCATTATGAAGACTAAATGGGTCATGTCCCCATAATAAAAACGGGTTAAGAAGAAGCATCCAAAAATAGATGAACCAACAATTACCGTCCCAAGATACTTCTGTCCATTCTTCACTCCACCAAGTACAAGTGAATTCCATAACGGGTTGAACTTATTGCGACGGTTATACATCATGCGAGTTAAATAGTTGTGCACCTCTTTAGGGCCCAAGGAGTTCCCGTCATCCCACATATTGTCATGCAAGCTGCATCAGCATTCGGCAAAGCACACCAAATCAAGAGTCACATTGCCAGAACTTGCAAATCCATACTACTAAAAAAAGTACCTTAGATGAAAAACTTTTAAATTTCTCTTCTACCCTTAAAAAAATTATAAGGACAATTATACCTCACACTAATAATTTCATTTAAAACTTTTGAGTTTCTATTTTGTCCTTAAATAAATATATTAACACTTATGACTTAAATCATAAAAATTGATATTGTGTGTACCCTTAAAGAAACCTACAAATTCAATGATTACTAATATATAATTCATAAAAGTCACTAATCATAAAAAAAAAAATTATTTTTTAATTTTATCCCAGCACAATTTAATAAAATCCATATTTTAATTTTGTAACTGTGATTAAACAATAATATAAAATCAATATTATCCTTAATCCAAAGATTACTCAAATTGATTTCTCCTTTTTTATGGACTCATAATATAAAACTAAATTTTTTCATTGGTCTAATATGTGTTGTAACTTATCTTAGTTGTAGACCTTACAGATTCTAGAAATAGTGCAAAAAAATTGCAAACAAGTCCTAAGAGTTCTTGAGAGTAAATATCAAGTAATAACAATGACTTATGAAATTTATACAAAGTCAAACTCATTAAAAATTTGACTTTTGAACATTCTATCAGTTACTAATATATTATATAATTAGATAAATTTAACAATGAATCTAAAATTAAATTTCTTTAACTAGAGATAAGTTAGTCTTAGAAAATTATCAAAATTCTAATCTCTCAAGATAAATGTTGAAAAAAAATAAATAAATCTTTGTAGCTGAAACATGTACGTCTTCTATTTATTGGTTTGTATGGAATTTAATGCTGCAGCTCGCTCTTGATCTATATTTGAAGGCGCGTTATGATGATTTACTTGATTATCATGTTATTTTGTATTCTATTATAAAAATACAAAATCTTTTGCAATGATTTTATCAAACTTTTCTCCCGCAAAGTTTGTATCACCGTGATTCATGCAACCAATGATTATGGACTCTTAGCAAGTATAGTATATTTACCACACAAAAACGTAAAGCCTCAATTAACCTTTCAGTATTCATGGGGTGATCAATCAATCCTGAAGTAATTAATTTAATATGTAGTCTAACTTCTTAGAAGATTATTGTGGTTGGAACACATAGTAACATATATTATATCTAGACAACAAGTATTAAGGGGCATATACTTTGATTCGTAGATGTATATTTAATTATTTCAACATAAGGATAAGAAACAATATCACCAGTATAAATTAAACTTGTCCACGTGCAACGCACATATGTACCAATGTGTTAAGTGATAACTTCACATTAAAAAATATTGTTGATAAATAAAATTGTGTATTCGTCTAATAGGAGTATGCATTGGTAAATCAATATTATAAGTTTAGCACAATGCATCTATATAAAAGAACAAAAAATTTACAGAGAGTTAAAGAAAAATTCGAAAAAGGACATAATAGAATCCTAAAAAAGGGCGACATAAAAAAATAAATCTTACATTTGAGAAGAATTGCTTGCTTGATCTCTTAACTAATTTAGTCTTAAGAGATCGAAGGATTGCCAATTAGACTGGACTAAATTGGTTTGATCATTAATTATCTTTAAACTTTGAAACAGGAGATTTATTATGGCAGGCATGTGTGGGTATATAGCCAATGTATTTTACCATATTTACAATTAAACTATAAAATAGAACCCATAAATTACAAAAACTACATTTTGAGGCAATTTTTGATAATATTCCACTTCTAAATAAATTAACCTATATACCGATATGATAAATATAAAATTAAAATTATTGTCAAAAATAATTCATGCGCAACGCATATGTGCAATATCTAGTAACAAATAGAAGCACCATTATCAACAACTCAAATAACAATTCCAACTGTGATAGGGAAATGATTACACCGGTGTTTGCCAATATATTTACATGATAGGTACATTCTCTCTACAATGAAAAAGAATTTTTTTTTTTTTTTTTATAAGAATTGACACTTACATAAGCTCATCAAGATAATGTAATATCTCCTGGAAATCACTAATTTCTCCACTTGCACCAATAAGAGAATGTTTTCCCACTGCCTTCAGTCGTGCCACGCTCTTGTAACGCAGAGTGGACCCGTAGGAGCCTGCAAACTGAATCATTAGCTACGTGACATTGACACACTTCAATATATACTTTTGCATATGAATTGGCTAGTCTAGCCTGGATAGAAGCATTGCGCTGGTGCAACCAAACACAAGCTAATCTGTACTATTGTCAAATGCTTATTGTATGAAGTACAAACATGGACACCATGCTATAAGGTCGCATATCAGCCATCGAGTCGAAGAGCAATGAGACGTGTTGGTCTCAGCGTCACAAAAATGGTATCAAGCAATACACATGCAATCCAAGTAGAAGAAAAAAATTGAATATTGCAAGAGATTTAGGCCATATTGCTAAATTGCGGGCTGATACAGAACCATACGCTACGATTCAATAAGGACTCAACCGAGACGTCTTTGAATCAATCACCATAAGTTAAGTGAAACTCGTAGTTTACATGGAACATGTACCATCCTCTAAACGCAAAGTATCGAGTCCAATACAACTCTAGTGATTTGATACAGACGAATTAGAATTGAAAATACTAAAAAAATAGAAGAGGAACACAACTAGAACACATTACAAAATAACTGTGTTTTAAGTATTCAGTACTTCACTTTTTGGTTCTTATTTTCCCTCAACATAGCTAAGTTTACACATGTTAAGTGTGGGATTTATGATTTTTCTTCACAAGAATAAGATTTATTGCATATATATGCTGGATGCAATGGTATTTGCCTCCATGAATTGCTAGATATTGGATAGCATTAACATAAATTGATGGATCATTTTAATTCACGATTATTATGTAACCACTAACCAGTAATAATAAAAAATTTGGTATTTTTTTTCTAGTGTCATAATTACTGTAAGCTTTTTCTGATTTGGAATCTCAAATCTGTGTGCTGTCACTAGAAGATATGTGGTGATCCTAGAGCAACTGGGATCAGATTATCTCACAATGCCACAAGTTTGAGACTTTGCACTAGTGCAGTCTAGCTTAAATCTCACATCTGCTACTACTCTAAGTTAATCTTATCATGTGCACTAGTTAAGCATGGTAAGATGAACACTAATCACATGCTTCAGAAAAAGGAGGCTTCACTCTTGTCTTTCCTCTCAATGGCTTGTGATGTGTAAGGGTGATCTCCAGAGTATTGATCATCTATTTCGACATTGTTCAGTTGCCTTGACATTGTGGTACCATCTGCTTCCTGATGCGAGCTTGAGTTGGGTGATTCCTGCAACTTCAATTTCTTTGTTTGTTGAAGATATGAAAGGTTTGGAAAGACTTGATAAATATGTTATTCTTTGAAATTTTCATATAATGGCTACGTTTTGGATCATTTGAAAAGAACAAAATATGCAAATTTTTTAAGATCGGAGAAAATGTGTGGATAGAATGTGAAACCGCATTCATTTCTTAGCATCTTTTGGGCATCAGTTTCAAAAGAGTTCAATGAGATTCTGCTTTTTTCTATTTCAGAGGGATGGAGAGCTTCATGTTATAGGCTCTTTTTATACTTTGTTTTTGTTTGTTTTTAGTTAGATCTATCATCCAACTTCTTTTCTGCAACTTATCTTTTAATTTTTATTAATACAAAAGTTTGTTTCCTATCGAAAATAAAGAGATCCAACTGAACTATTAACCACAAGAAAAGGGATTTTGCAACGAAAAATACTGCTCGGTGTAGCAGCAAATCAAACAAACAATTCGTCAAAAAATCTAATTCATTTAAACCACACCCTCCATACAGTCTACTGCAATGCTGATACCCTAGACTCAAAATATCACGAAAAAAGGTTAAATTAAGTGAGCAAAGTGAAAGAAAATATATAAATCGTGCAAATAGGGATTGTGGTGCAGCATCTAACCTCCCATATCAGCAGCCAAAAGAACACCATCCTTATACTTGATGCCGATCACTGATGTGCCAGTCACATACGGGTACCTATACCATCATTCAAATTATAATTCTACACCCCCAAGAAAGAACAATGCTACAAAACCAAAATAAAATCCAAAAAGTTACAACCGAAATGCATTTCAACCCTGGATGAGTGTGTTCTATCAATTTTTTCAGTGGGCCTCACTCTTCTCACACTCGTCTTAGGGATAATATGTATTTGAGATTTAATTTTTGGGTTTCATTTGGATTATATAGCATTTTTTTTCCAAGAAAATCATCATTACTAAAAGCAAGCGAGCGAGCGAGAGAGAGCATACAGAGTTCTTTCGGAATCTACGTCACAGCTAATTAGGCTATTTTTAGCAGGAAAAGAGTCAACGAACTGCAAAAATTACGAAGAAATTCATTACAGTGATCAATTTTCTACGAGAGAAATATGTGAACGAAGATCGATTGCTGTTCGATACTAACCTTCATATTCTGAATTGACCGATCTGATAAGAAAACTGAGACGAAATGGGGAAAAATAAGAGCAATCAATTCGCCGATCTCTGGTCAAAAGGCACCGTCGTTGCCCTTCCCTCAAGCAAACCAGACTATAAACGTGGTTTGGGCTTGTTGATACAGTCCACTGAGTAGGTGGGCTATACATGTGGGCCCAAATTAGGCTGTGGTATCCGGCTTGATATATGATAAGTCCAGTAAAAAGTCCAACTGGTTTAGACAACAGTTCACATTATAGTAATGTCAAATTTAAATTTCAGATTTTATGGAATCAATAATGACTGTTTAAAAAATTAATTTAATATTAAAGATTATTTTTTTAAGTCATTAGAANTTTCAGATTTTATGGAATCAATAATGACTGTTTAAAAAATTAATTTAATATTAAAAATTATTTTTTAAGTCATTAGAAGAACATTTTAGAGTTTTAAAAAAATAGTAGGTTTAACTATTTACTAGTAATATTAAAAATGAACTTATTTTCAAATAAATTTTCTTGGCAGACTGAACTCATTAACCCCAATTTTCATTAACTTTACTTAACTAATAAAATTCAAGATTAGTAAGGCTCGTACATAACAAAGTCCATATTAAAAAGATGACACAAATTCTAACACTTCTCTCTTTCCATTAATGACAAAAAATATTTTCACATCATAAAAAATAACACACTCCACAAAAAAAAAAAAAACCCAAACGGCTCTCTTTCTATAATACCATAATTTTAACTCCACACAACTATAAAAAAAAAAAAAAAGTGAAATTACATTACCTACTTTACTAAGGAAAAATCGTAGTACTAGTCAGTCATCTCTTTGTCCCTACCCCTATGTTGAATTGCACAGGTATTAAATTTCTTTTATTTAATAATTTTATATTTTTAATAATATAATTAATCAAATTTCATTGTTCTTCTTATTGACAAAAGTCAAACTTAATAGACGATTTGAAATATAATCAAAGAATTAAAATTTATATACCACCCCTATTGTCAGATACTATTGTTTCATTCCATCTATTAACAATATTCTAAAAGCACTACAATGGGTTAGTCATATTATCAACTAAACAACATATATTAACAAAATTTTAATATAAAAACTTAACATCTCAAAAACCTATAACAATTTTTAATAAAATTTTAATCATATATCTTATATATTTATTATTAATTTTAAAGAGCCTCATTTATCATTTGTACTTGGGGCCTCGATATTCATTAGGCCAGCTCGGATTACTATTCATTATACCTGATTAAAATTGCCAGACGTTTTGGGCACATATCATAGTAAGTATGGCCTGCCTTTGACCAAATAGAAGAGGGGATTAGTCGAGTTATAGAACACCCCCGACAGTCAGAACCAAAAAAAGAATGTGATGCAAAACCAACTTACCAAAATTCTGTAAACATGATCTTTTACGCCTGAAATTATCTATACAGACATTACCTTTTACAACATGTGTTAAACATGTCTGTACAGTTTCTAAGGGATTGACACCAATTATCAAAAATGGAAAAAGAACACGGCTAATAAACAACATTTCTGACCTAACCTTAAAAGAATACAATGTACATGTATGCTTTGATGCCCAGTTCCCTCCACATTTAATCTCCCAACATATGATTAAGGCAACAGAATTTATTGGGTTAGCGTTTCCCCAACAATTCGACAGAATTTTGGGTTACAGAACTTGCCCGATAGTATACTGTGTGTGTACATGTGACATTTGTAGCAGAGGTTTGATATGATTCCATCTCACCAAAGTGCTGCTGAAGAAACTATGTTTATTTTTGCCCTATGATTGATAACATGCCGTATAGATGATTCCCCGGAGAAAATGAGTGGCAGGATCCGGACAGCATCACCAAAGATTCTGGGCATACCTCCATATTCTGTAGATTTAGTGAACCCCAAGGTTAGAAACGAGAAGTGAAGAACCATTAAAAAAATTCATATATATTTGAAGTATGAATTAAAGTGTTGTATGTGCATGCATTTTACTATTGCTGGTATTGGTATTCCACCAAAAAGAGTAAATAACAAATCTAAGGCTGATTTGTCATCAAATTCAAACTGGGACGATATGTATAACAAATCCAATGTTGAATAGTAATGAAAACTCAAATATGTATATATAAAATCTTGTTATGGATTCAAACTACAATGAATTTTAACACTTGATATCAGAAATAAATTAAGTATGCTGGCAATGCCTACAAAAGACAAATATTTAATTGTAGTTCAGGGTGATTTCTATAGCCCTTGGGAGTTCAATTGGCAAGTTAATTGAAAGCATGGCAGCTTATCACACAAGTTGCTTGCATGTATATAGCAGGAAACATTTGTATTTTCGGCAGAAGGGACAAAAGTGTAAGTCAATGCAAGGAGTAAGTTTAACCCCACCCCTTCCCCCCTTGGTCCCTCTTTCTAGGTGGTGGCATAGAGGTGGTGTCTGCAGTTGCCCTATGTAATACTATATCCTCAGCCAAATAAAGGCAATCACTGTTTTATGGCTTCAAATCATATTCCTTCCAGCCATCATCTTTATTTTTGATTCTTTTTACTTGGATCAAGGCACTCCATTTTATTCGTGGCAACAATTTCATGGCCACACATGGGGTAATCACCTTAGACAATCTGCCTTCATCTTATATTCAAATTCCAACAGGTTCCACAGCTACTTTCCAAAAATGTATCTCTTTCAGTTTTTTCTCCTTTTTATTGCCACCCATTTAATTTTTTTGAGATAAAAGAAGACTTTCTTTATTAAGGAAGAAGAGCGGAAAAAGAAAAGAGGAACAATACGAAGGAGATGAACACAATGAACTACAAAGAAGGAAAAAAAAAAACTNAAAAAAGAAAAGAGGAACAATACGAAGGAGATGAACACAATGAACTACAAAGAAGGAAAAAAAAAACTAAAAGAGAACCGCCTTCCTATATCATTGAGAATTCTATAAACGAACTCTTAGAAAAGCCCAATGGATATAGTCCATAAATAAGAATACCTTGTTTAATATGAATAAAATTTAATATAAGTCCACATACAAGTTGGTTGACGGTAAAGTTGTTCCATTGTGACCTGGGCAATCAGGGTTCAAGTTGCGAAAACAGTCCCTCCGCATATGGGGTAAAATTGCGTACATTTCACTCTCCCTAGACCCTAGGGTGGCAGGAGTTTCCTACACTAGGCCTCCCTTTATACAAATGGATTTATAGATAGTATGCTATAATGTTTAGTAGAACATTAAAATTTGCTTCTCTTTGTAATTGTTCATTAATGGGTAGTCTAGTGTTCTAATTGTTGCAGAGTTTGATATTCTATTATGTCCTATATGAACTATTGGGAATTATGGAATATTAGAGAATAGCTAATTTCTTCTCTCTTCCTCTTCCACAATTGATTGAAATTTTCATGATATCCGATATTCTCCTTTGACATTCAGACATCAATTNGATGGAATATTAGAGAATAGCTAATTTCTTCTCTCTTCCTCTTCCATAATTGATTGAAATTTTCATGATATCCGATATTCTCCTTTGACATTCAGACATCAATTGTTGCTTCTTCTTGTCATCACCATCGTGTTTGAACGGTTTGTAAACTTGATTGTTATCTGCATTTGTGTTGATAATCACCGGTGGAGAATTTTGATTGTGCCTTGGTTCACTGTGGTGTGAGATTGGAAGACTAGGTATCCAAAAGTTTCATACCTCTCCCCTGTGTTATGGACAAAGAGTAGCTTGAAGACATTACCCCTAATCCAATCCACAAAAAAATGATTTGACGGACATCCGTGACTAGGGATGCAACTTAAGCAGGTCAACCCGAATTCAACTCGAATTGAATCCAAAAAACCCTCAATCTATATCCTATTCGTTTATATAAACGAGTTCAACTATCACACCCACGTGGAAAATCATTAACTCGCCACACATTACACTTGTTTGACTTGTTTACTATAACAATAAATCATGACTGAGCAAAAAAATAAACATTAAATGACTACTAAATTTGAATAATTCTGAGAAATGAGGGGTGTGAGATGAGATACAGGCTGAGACACCTAACTTGTTTTTTAAAAATTTATTGTACCACTGTTAGCGGCTTAAACGGGTAGAACCGAGTTTATGGGTTAAACACGAAACCGGTTCGTTTATTTCAGAGGTCTGCCGAGTTAACTCGTTAACCACTCAAACCCGTTAGGATTACACCCAAACACGCTAAATCCGTGTCGGGTTCTTGTCAATTTCACGAGTCGTATCTACAATTGCCAGACCTAAGTGTGGTTCACGGATTTAACTCGAACCCAACCCGAATTGATGAAATCGGGTTCAAACCGAGTTCAACCCAAATTCATGTATTATATTTATATAAATAATATAAAAATAAAATATAAATACATATTTGTACTTATTATAAACAGTAGCATAGGTGTCTCATACGACTTTGCTAAGCTATTCTACAATCACACAACTCTCAAAAAATATTTAATCATATTTTAATTATTGGGTTCTAATCTGTGTGAACGATCCCCCTTGATCTTTCCTTCCTCACGGCATTGGTCATCAATTTTACTATATATTTCCATTCTCATATCTTACCTTACTAAGTTATACCCCCGGTCCAAGTAGTTAAAAACCTTAGATTGCTGCTATCCTTCTATGGATCCATCTTAAAAGAAACACGTAGATTAAGAAAACTATGGCATTAGCAAATGGCCTCATAGATATGCTCCTGCATATCCTCAATATGTTCAAACACAACATATGAACAACTTAAACTCCATAGTTTCAATGTTTTACATGGCTCCAATGTTATTTAAACTCGCTTAACCTATGTTCTCAGTCCCCACTAGTCCTCCCTAGGGATAACACCATGCTTTTCTAAGTCAAAAACTGCCACAGTGATATTTTTCTTATTTTGTATACTTGAGGACGAAGATAATGCCCAAGATTCATCAACTTGAAGTAAGGTGCACATAAACTTCCTTATATGCTCCTTTTGTTCAAGTTGCCGCTCGAACCTCCTCACCCCATCTGCAAGTCTGTTTAGAATTAACATCTCCTTGTAACAAACCATCTCACACAACATCTAAGCTAGTAGGGTGTACTGTCTGTCATAATGCTTTGATTTGTCATAAGAGTTTTATATCAAGAGTAACAGCCTTCATACACAGATGAACACAAATAGAAGTTTATCAATAAACATGTAATTTCTATGTAGATTTCTCATGTATTCATGTCTTATTTCTTTAAAATTGTTCATGTTTTGAAGTGTTTATATAGTGTCATACCAATTTTCTTTATCTGCGTTCATGCTCTATAGATTTTCAGGCACTTGCCTAGCGTAAAGGGTATGTAAAACACTTCATGGCATCCTCTAGGTTTCAAAACATGGCTGCAATGAACTTTTAACCCAAATTAGACATTACAGGCCTGAATCAGTCAAACAAGTCCAGATAAAAAAGGAAAATGAATTGATTAGTCCACAAACTGTACAGCAGCAGTGAAAACAACTATTACGGGGAAGGAATGATACACAATTGTGTCTTGCCAATTAAGTAAAAATGAACAGAGATGACGGCAATGATCATAAAAAGAACAGTCCTTATGCATTATAAAAAAGTATCAATTGATGGCAGCGACGTACCTCAAATTAACATCAGTGATTAGCATCGATAAAAAATCCATTTATGTTGTGTACGAATTGTGAGTCTATCATGTTGTGGAACCTTTTGATTTCAAGTTCCGAGGAAGGCTAGTTTTGCGGAGTTGAGGATTTTCAATAGAATACACAAGAAGGCTTCCATCCTTTGTCCCAGCTAAAAAGCATTCTTCTGGTGTCACAGCAAGTGAAGTTATACTTTTTCCTACTCCATTATACCTCCTCACAGTCTCAAGTGAATTCATAGAGCGTACGACAATCTGTCCTTGGTCTCCAGCACAAACCAAAAACTCACCACAGCTACTTAGTTCGACACAGTTAAGGCGCCCATTCGACTCAGAAGTGGCAATATGTTTTCCGTTAATGGAATAAAGGTGCAGACTGAGATCATCATCTGCATAGAGCACAATCCGCCCATGACGAGATGCAACTAGCTTTGATAATGCAACACCAGCCGGATGTCGAAGAGATCTCAAATATCTTCCCTCCCGCAGGGTATGAAAAACACAGGTTCCATCTTTCGATCCACTTAGAACTATATTAAGCTCCACACTCACATATAAGCATGTAATGATATCATCATGCCCACATAGAATATGGAAGGGTGTTTCAGAAATGACATAGTCTTTACGGGGCATCTCCGTTGGCATATTTCTAACTCTTTTGTCAGGGGCTTTAACACGAAAAACCTCCCAGACCATAACTGTCGTGTCACAACTCCCAGTAGCAAGGATGCTGCCATCCAAAGTCACTGCAGCATAACTCACTTCAATGAGAATGTCAAATTTTGAAAATACTTCCATAGTTGAAAAAATAATATTATCATCACAATTATGTGAAGAAGGAAAGTACGAACACAGATGTTATTTATGTTGCCTTCTGATGGCAATGCAGCATAATGCGTTAGTGTTTCATTGGTTATAACTACATTATTATCACATTGGTGCATATCTTCTAGGGTCTCTGCATGCAACTCTTATCATTTAGTCCATCAGGAATTGAGCTGGAATAAAATTAGCACAAAAATAGATTATAAGATATAACGAGTTAGGAAACTTAATCTCCAAATTCAATTTCCTAGTGTAATAGTCCACAGAATGTAAATAATCTACTGCATTACCTTAGCACAACCTTATATCTTCAACTCTCTCGTCAAACTCATGGGAGTCCAGAGTCATGCTAGAAATGCGCACAACAAAAATATTACGGATGCTGTAAATTTGAAGTCAAACTCAAATGAGATGTTTCATCTTGTCACATTCAGATTTCATGCTATGTTTCATTATTGTCCAATGCCATAAAGAACAACACCATATGTTAATTTTGATGGAAGAGAAAATTTATTGAGACTGTCATTTGTAACTTGGGCCATTTCAAGTGATGAAAGTACCTGCAACACAGCTAACCACATCTTTATGCTGTCGGATGCTCTGCACCATTCTTCCATCACTTAGGGATATGACCTGAAAACTATTTTCCCAGTTGCCACACGAGATCAAAAAATTTTCAGATGATGTTTGCATTGTTGCAAAGCATTGTGCTCCAACTTCGATATTTTCGGCTAAAGGACTACCAATTTTACGAGGGCAAAGGATATCAGAACCAACTCCAAAAAAGGGGTCCTGTACCAATTTGAGCAATCAACCACATTGCAATTGACATGCTGAAAGATACAATGCAGATAAAAATATCAATAATTGTACCTGTGAGCCAGAGAAGGTGAAGTTTCCACCAGATTGCAGTTGGGTTGTCAACCATATCTTAACTGACATGGTGAGTGCCTGGTCCACTAGGACAACGTTTGAGTCAAATATATCAACGTATAAAACAGCTGACGGTGGATTACTTGTACTTGAAACAATAGAAGTTAAATTGATAGATCCCGGAGCAAAGCGTAAAGGATGAGCGATTGGAATTGGTGGCCCTCTTCTAGGGTGCTTCTTACGGAAGATCTGAATTGGTGTCTGACCAAAATTGGCAATCTGGTCTTCTATGGCTGACCGTTGCAATTCGTCTTCCATTGACTCCAGATCAACAGCACCTTCATACGTTAGATAATAAAAAATATTTGCCGCCTGCAGACCAATATTTCCTAATGAACAGTGATTCAAAAAAATGACTGACAATAAATATTTATTGGGCTCTAGCAACCGCAGTATGATTAGTTGCAATATGATGTTGAGTAAAATATGTTCAAAAAAAAAAAAAAAATATATATATATATATATATATATATTACCTTGTGTGTGTTCATTAAAAAATAAATAAATAAATAACCAGCAAAAATTTTAGTTTCCACGCATCAGGAAGGAATTTCTAAAATTGTCTGAGAGTACCTCCACCGCTGGTTTTCCACGCTGCTTGTAACCAAATACCAAATCAATCCAATGGTGAAGGTTTGAGCTAACATATTCACTCTCAAGGGCCTCTCTGTTTTTGTAAATGAATTCTTCGGGGGATCCCTGTACAATTAATTTCAAAATAAGCTCTTTTTAACTTCATTGACTTCAAATATCACATAAAACATCAAATACTCTTTTAGGAAATCATACCACGACCAACTTTATGTGATACACTGAAGAAAGAAACCTAACTTAATTTGGAAAATCTCACATACATGAACAAAGCAAAAAGCGTTGGGCATAAGTAACCTTTCAATTATCCATTTATCCCTACACTCTGGGANCACATAACTGCTTTACCTTGAAAGTGTAATTGTTTCTGAAGGATTGCCTCTCTCATAAGGTTGATTTGTAGTTAATTTGTTGATAACGACCAAACAAATATGTGNATTATCCCTACACTCTGGGACGGAAACCCGAATTTTATCACGAGGGGGGCTAAATAGAAACAATGACAAGAAAAGTTCTATTCAATGGGGTCATTATCAAGTTATCATTAACCTATCGAAATCAATTTGTATATGATACCATTGTAAGATTAGTTTAGATCATAAAATCCATAATATCTAAGAATTATTTCTTACCATCCTAAAATTTCTGAAAATCTAAGGGAAGACATAGGGTTTTTGGGGAACCTAAGGACGCATAGGGTATTTTTTAAAATTTGAAAGGGGCCATGGCCACCATTGGTCACAGTATCACTCCGTCATTGCCTACACTCCTGATACTTTATCTTCCAAATATTAAAGCAACATCTTTTCTTATGCAATTCAACTCAAAAACCAAAACACAACCTCTTGTTGCCAATTGCATCTTTACAAAAATATATCCTCAATTGAATCCCAGAAATCATGTCCTTTCTCACAACCTCAATCCATATTCTCCTTCGCCATCCCCGTATCCTTGTGAAAAACACAACTACAAGAAAATCACTCCTCCATAATGGTGCCTTACTTGGCCATGTGCAACATGGCAAAATGATCTTAGATAAACTTCCCAAATTTTATCTCCAACTAGAGTGAACTCCAATTCCTGCAGAATTCGAATTTTGTTTTTCTTGCAACGCCACTCATACATGTGAACATCCTCATTTTACACACAATTTTTGGAGAATTGTCAAAGGGTGAGCAGGCACCTCAATCTTTTTAATACAACAGTGAAATCCTAACCCCACATTGTTTTTTATGCCATACAAAGGTCTTATATATATTTTGCAGATATTATTCAGATTTAATTCATGTCATGTTGTTTAATCACCTCACATCTAAATGATATGAATATGCATATGTGCCTTTAGGTGCCTTCTGCTTGAGGCTTGTCTACTTCTTTGCATGCACACGAATCTATTGGTTTACGATTAGTATATTAAATAAATACAGATCCAATAAAACTAGGTAAGGGGAGCCTTGGCAAGTTGGTAGGGCTTCCTATTCAAGTATTGATTAAAAAACCACTGATTAAATCAGTGTGATTCACAAAATTAGCATAAACATAACTGCTTTACCTTGAAAGTGTAATTGTTTCTGAAGGATTGCCTCTCTCATAAGGTTGATTTGTAGTTAATTTGTTGATAACGACCAAACAAATATGTGCCTTCCAAATCCTCCACCCACCAAAAAATGGGAAAAAAAAAAAAAAAACCATTCACAATGAAAAAAAAAAGAAAAAGTGAAAGGAAAAACAGTAACTGGTTAGAACATTTCTTTCTCTGATGCTTTAATCCAAAATCAATTTTCTGATCAGAGCCATTCTTATGTGCAATGACACAAGCTTATGAGTGTCAATCGTGGGAACATGGATTCAAGTTTGAGGGCAGCCACTTTGTGCAACTACAAGCAATATTAAATCTTCCTAGTCCACTCCTTCTGGAGCCTTCGACTTATGGGAATAGTTCATTTGAAATCTCACATTGCCGTTGCGAAAAAGGGAAATGTTTTCTTTTTTGAAAGAAAACAAACTTGTGAGGATTTGTTTTATCAATCACATCTTTGATATTGTAGTATAATTTTTTCCTGCAAACATCACTGGTCATTTTTTAAATTTATAAAGTTTTTCTCGCTATCTACATCAGTACATTCACCGACCGCTTTAGCTCCTTCATTCGAGAAGGAATACTAGTGTGTGCTACTGACCGTGAATTCCTCATTGTTGCTTATTCCTTGAATGGCACCCCTCTCAGACTACAGCTGAATCAGGCCACATCCGGTGAGACATCTGCGATTGTGACAACCATAGTTGTCAAATCGCATATTGAAAGGTGTATCGTTTTTTAAAAATAGTGGATCGTATTGTGTATCGTAAAATACGGTGTAATTTTAAATAATTAATAATAAAATATATATTTACAAACTTTAGGGTGTCTAGATGTAATTTATTAACGGATATATTTATGCAGGGGTCTAAGTGTTACGTGTATGTAAATTTTAGAGGGTCTGTGTATAATATTTCAAATATTAAGGGGTCTAAGTGATTAAGTAATAAACCTCAAGGGGTCTAAGTGTAATTTTTCCTATTTTAAAGTATAGCAAAGACTGCTTGATCAAAAAAATAAAAAAACAAAGAACGATAGAGAGCGATCGAGAGGCAGAGAGAGAAAAATAGTGATCGAGAGGCAGCGATCGATTCACAAGCACAAGGCAGCGATCGACATCGTTCTCCAAGAGGCAGAGATCGAGAGGCATCCTTCTCCAACAGGTTTCTTTTTTTTTTCTTCTTTTTATCGATGAGGGTAGTGGTGGGCTTTGATTTTGGAGGAATTTCGACCGTTCTATTAGAGTGGTTGCGACTGATTTACCCAAAAAAAAAAAAAAAAGACTTCACGTATCGTTCGTATCGGTCGATATGTATTGTTCGTATCGGTCGATACGTATCGTATCGTTAAAACGTATCGTGTATCGGACGATACTATGCAAAAACGATACAAAACTCAAATTTGTATCGTTTTACCTCTGTATCATGACGAATCGTACGATACTAACAACTATGGTGACAATTGTGTTTGGGACAGATTTAGCAGAGGGAGAACCAAAAAACACATGCTGCATTTTGATACAACAGAAGTTAATTATAGTGACTCACCTTACATCTCCCAACAAAGGATTGTCATCCCAACCCATTTCTGAATTTTATATGGATAGCATTGTATGAACCCTCAGTGTCCTCTAAACCTCGACTCCTAAATCCAGATAACCATCCATTTCTCTCACGTCGTCAACTAACTCGCCCCACTTTCTCTATCTCTTTCCCTACTCAACAGTATATGAGAATTCTTGTCTAGCTCCATTCTCAGGCTTTCCATCCCTCTTCACCCGCCCTAAGCCTCTTTTTCTTTGTACGTACTGCTACATTGTGCTTTAATTTCAAGCAACTTATGTATACTCTCTCTTTTTTCTGTCCCTTTCTGCCTGTTCTGCAGTTTTCATGCCTTGATTTTTTTCCTCTTCATTTGCTTCATAATCTGTGCATGTTTGCTAGACTCAGTTTTGCATAGACTCTTGATCTTTATAAGTAATTTTAGGTATATACAGATTCTGTTTTTTGGCGTTTTGAATACTACTTAGAGCTGTTTCGGTTACTCTCTTGACAATAGTACTTGCTTTCCATTTTCCCCTCTCAATTTTATTTTTCCTTGGTGTTTGTATTTGGAGGAGACTTCTCAAGTTGATGACTAGTAAAAACTCATCAAAGATGTTTTGGAATTAATAATCATTATGTTTACACATCCTTGAACTTATTTTTCAGTTTGTTTTTTTTTCCCTGTTTTGATTTGCAAGCTTTCTTTTGGTCCTCCATTTTTTTTTTTGTTGTTTTGGCTTGATTGGCTTTGGGACTCATAAGACAACACTTAAACCTGTTAACCCGAGCCTTGTCCAAATTCAGTTCGTGTTGAAACTTTTCAACTCTAACCCTAAAAACTTCAACCCTAAAACTACTTTTTCCAGGTTTGGTTCTGGTTGGCCCGCCCAAGTTGCACCCCTAAGGTGAAGGAGAGATATCCTTGATGAGGGAGTCCTATTCCAAAACTTAAGTATTATGTATTTGGATGAAATTCTAACTTTTGGGTACTTAAATTGTTAGAATAAGGATTGCTAATGAATAATGCATGTGGCTGTAATTAATGCTGAAGAGAAATATTTAGTAATTATGTATTTAACATGTAATTTTGTTTTTTTGCAGAATATTTCAGTTCCCCATTTCACAGAGAAAGGAAATCCTGTATCACTTAATTTGGTCACTTGTCATGCATTTGCATGGTTAACAGCTACTATAATTAGACAACTTTGTTTTCCAACACACAGCTTTAATTGTTTTTGATAGGAAACAGTTCCCCAAGAAAAAAGTCAAAAAAGCTTTAGGAGAAACTACTCTCTATAGCACCATTCAAAGTAGTGGACATTTTATAATGAAGCTTGAAGCAGTATTTGCAGAACTCAAATGATGTTGATAACTATCAGTTAGATTTTAGAATAGTTAGGGTTAGGTAGAGAGAAGAGAAGATTAGGAAGAAGAAGAAAAAAGATTAAGAGAAGAGTGTGTAGTGTGTTAGGTTACACAGCTACATCCCATTATATGTAGCAACACAAAAATATCAAAAATTTAAGGGTTACATCCTAAATAATATAACATAACACTACCTTTCTAATCTGAAATCCTTAAAGAGTAGCTCTTATTTCTTTGCAATCCTCAAAGTCCATGTATGCCAAAAATGCAAACTACGAACAAATTGACCTACAGCCTAGAAGAATAGAACAACAATGGTATAGATTCACTTATGCCACCCCCCTTTTTTTCCAACACTCGAGAAGGAAAAAAAAAAAGAGAAAAAGAAACGTGTACTATAGAATTTTAATAACCAACCATCTGAACCTTAAGTTACGTCGGTTTTAATCTTGTTGAACAGCATCTCTGCCATGCTTAACTGCCAGTACATATGCCTAATTACAAGATATTCATTTTCCTACGTTAGTCATTCTATAATCAGTTATCCATGAGAGATCGTACACCAGGAAACATGTCTAAAACAAAGAATAGAATTCAATCAAACCAGCTAATTAAATGAAGCTAAATAGTTCATTTGGAAGTTCATGGGGTAAGTCAAGTACCTTGGCCCAAGGAGGGAGGCAAACATCACATAAGAGTTCACCATCTTGCTTTACTCCAAGATGATAAAAGTTTGAATTAACAAGAAACTCTGGCATGTAAAAGAATTCGGGAATCAACTCCTTCACATCACTTGTATTAGAGAGGCAGTTCTGATACGTGCCCCCAATACTATGAAAAAGACGATCTGCATGATCAAATTTACCACCCTGAAGAAAAAATGCACGGGTGAAACTTTTGAATCATAAGTCAAACAAATCATGTAAGAAACCAGGTGAAAATTAAAAGATAAAAAAAAAAAAAAAAAAACGAGAATGAAAATAAATTAACAGCTAAGAGAACATGCTGGACCTGGTGTCCAATTGAAGCAGTGCACATATTGCTATCGAATGAAGCAGAATTAATCAAGTTATTAAGAGGTTGAAACAAGATGAGATTCTGTAGGCAAGAAGCTTTTGCTATTAATGACCAGCAAATGTACAATCATAAAAGTACCTGCAGAGTACGGTGGAGTGCTGTAAATGGCTCTAACCTAAGAAGGTAAAAAAGAACAATCCCCATGCTTGAATAATGTGATCCATAGTAGAAACTGCAGTGGAACATAAATTATTATTCGATTGAATCAATCCTAGTGATCAAGTCAACTGCAAAAGCAACTGAATATGCTGAAACAGGAGTTGGAATTACCTCGGAATATCAGGATCACTGAAGTTACAGAATCTGTCTGCAAAAACCTGAAGTTGTGAAGCATAACACAAATTATAATAATCTTAGACAGAACGATCGAACTCGGACATTCAACAAATAAGAATGAAATCAACCTACCTCAAACCGTTTTGAATCCAAACCTCCAACAGGTTTTGAAAGATCCCGAAAGGTCAACGACTTGTTGAAATCAAGGCTCTCGGAGGTATAGTCAGCCAGTACCCAAGGAAATACAGGGTACTGGGTTAGATCATTATATGATCTTCCTGCAAGGGTATTGAGAATCATCAGATATTCAAAGTTTGTAATCTCCCTTCTCCTCCAGCTCTCTCTGGCAGTCTCTGCCATCTCCAATGCCACACGTCTATCAACGAAGGAAATAACTCCAGTCTTGTCCCTATATCCCTTCGGAAACAAAGATTCATTTCTGGTGGCTACTATCAAGGTTCCAACATCTTTTGCATCCTTTTGTGACACAAAGTTTAAAAATATAGGAGCGACCGAATTGCTGAAGAAGATCTCTATAGCAGTGTATCTGAGCAAATATCGAGTCCAATGGACAGCCTTTATCTATGATGAGCAAGAAATACAAAAAACTAAGATTGCAAGCATAAAATGCATCTTAACGAGGAAAAAGTACAAGAATCCACATATCTGCTACCTTGCAAATTTTCCACCTCCGATGGCGCTTAATATGTTTGGCTTGCTTTTGAAATACATTAACATCAACTTCATTGAGGCCATCAATGGCCTTAGCTCTTTCAAATTTCAAATCTATATTAATGGGCAAGTTAAGAAACTTCTGTTTTTGAATTCCCCCTAGATGATCAGACTTGCTTGAATCAACATTGCCTGAAGCATGAAAATTCTTAAAAACAGATGACCCTCCTGTACCTTCCACTAAAAACTCACCAAAGAAATGCAAGATTTCTTTCATGACTGCCAAATGTCCAGCTAATTTTCTCTTTGGTGTTACTAGTACACAAGGGACAGACATGAGAACCTGGAAATTAATCCAAACATAAGCACCAGAAATGAAAAACAAGCTATAATTCAAAATGTTCATTTGGTCACACATACCTCACTTGTTTCTGACTCTATTGATGTTGAAGCATAATCTTTTCTTTCATGAGTGATGTCCTTGTGATCACAGCTATCTTTTACTACCTCAGAGCACTGTCTATCTTGTGGATCCTCGGCTCCAGGCTCCTTTTGCCCGCTAGGTTCAGCATCATTGTCATTGAGTTCTGACAGCCCCTCATCAGTTATCCTGTGAATTCCTTTCAGTAAGAGCTGCTTCATCTGCTCAGGAATATGCAACCCAAAACCAGTTTTGCTTTCACTAATAGGTTGAAGAGCCTCATTGCTAGATGTAGTGGATGGAGGGTGACAAAGCTTTTCATTAAAATGATAATTTCGCCTAAACTTTTGCCTTCGTCTCCATGCATCTTCTGTCTTGTCAAGTTTCCAATGTGTTATGGTACTGTTAGGAAAAGGATTAGCAGACCATGGACCCCTCTCATCAATCAGAGTGCGAAATGTATGTACCCATTTTTCCTGTAGAAGCATCAATTTTAATCTGTTTACATTCTCGTGAAAAGCTAACTGCAAATACAGGGGAAAACAAGGCAACAGACAGCAACAAAATTCATGCTTACAGCGACAATTTGTTGATCCTCATCCTGACCAAGCTGGAATGAAGCTCTTCTGCTATCATCTGAAGCAAGAATGGTGATTAAGCAACTCTGTACCTCATCTTCTAAAAACTTCTTTTGGTAAGAATCGGCCGATGTAATTTCTTCCATCCTAATCCGAAGATCTTGCAACTGCCTGATGCGATCTATTGTTGAATTCTTTATATATTTGAACTCATCCGCAACCTGAAGAGCAAAACTAGGCAACTCAACGGCAGATATCAAAACAACAAAAAGAAGCACATGACAACTCAGGAAAAACATATTCATAAACTGACAACAAAAATGTGGCTTCCGTGACATACAAATGTAGCTAGAGCAGAGCAATGTGCAAGGCACGACAATGGTCTGCATGGTCAGTACGGATGTGGACACAACTAATTCTACAGATAATGTACATTTATGGATTCGTCAATTTTGGTCAGTTGTAGAATGATAGAAAACAAAAATATCCCTTAAAATATCATCAAATAATATATCACCTCTTCAACTGGGGAGAAACGCAAAAATACATTTTTACTACCAAAATAATAAGCAGAATGATTTTAATGACCCAACAGAAATGTTAATTAATATGAAAGAATGATATGAATTTGAACTGACAACGAAAAAACTAAAATGAAAATGTACGCTTGACGATATATTGATTTTTCCGAAGTTAAAAATTATAGAGTATAATTCACTTGCAAATTGACACATATTCAATCAGTTTCTGACATTTTCTTGCCATGGAAGCTAAGTGAAATTTTACATCAGGTGATATACAGCTTTGTTAAATTTAACTGATCGGGACATCTCATGAGGACTTCTTTTGGGACTCCAATGGCTATCATGACATCATCCTGACCAGTTGGAACTGAATGTTATGGCAGGGTGGACTCTGCTAATTATAGATCAAAATGGGCTTTTGCATGAATCCAACTGTGGGGAATCAGCTTATTGAAACCTTCAAGGGTATTTTAATTATTAACCCTTTGTAGAATTAGCTATATGTCCACCCGCCCCCCCCCCAACAAACCTAAGACCATCACACTCTCACCCTACATGGTTGTGGCTGTAAAAATATCTTGTTTTCGACATCGAATTATTATTATTTTTTGGTTACATCGGAAAGTTCACATCGAATTATTAGGATCACCTAAGGTTGGTTTATATATTTTAGGGATTACTCCACTCTGTGTCCATTGGTTTTGAATTAGATACTCTTAACATGTATTGAGCCTTGGGTGGCCCGTCAATAGGCCAAGTCTCTTTCTCATTTGAATTTTCCAATATGCATAGTTGTTTATTTGTTTGTTAGCCTCATGTGAGCATGGATTCCACGTGGAGGGTATAAAGAGACCTTGTATCCCACATCGAATGATTAGGATCACCTAAGATTGGTTTATATACTTGAGGGGCTACTCCACTCATTGTCAACTAGTTTTCGGTTGAATGGTCTAACAGTTGTAATTATCGTATGCTTATCGTGGTAATTTCAAAACATAAAGCTCCTTGTCACAACATAAAATTCAACCCTTTACAAAGTAAAATGGCAAAAAAAAAAAGATTTATGTAGTCAACCCCAAATATTTGGGGACAAGAATTTGGTTAGTTTATTTCAATTACATATCCTTTTGTCTAAGTAAGGTAAAAAAATAATCAAACCAACCTGCAAATTAATAGTATGAAATTCAAATCACCTTAGTTACTATATTGAAGAACATGTGAATAACTGAATATGCACTATACGGTGCGAATTACCATGTCTTCCTCTTAAATAGAAAAATCCATAGAACAGTTGAATCTCATTTGCATATGGCCAGATATGGCGGATACATAGAGAGATATACTTGACAGGATTAAGTAATTAAGTCAATATAAGTGTGGCAACAGACAACATAAATTAAGATAAGATCAACAAAAAATTGGAGGACACACCGCAACAAGAACTTGATCCTTGTGGATTAAATTATGAATGGTGCTAGTTTCTTTTGGATTGTGTCCCGACTCTGATGAATCATCTCTGCCTACAATACTGGTGGCCAGCATTGACTTCCCACAGTTGACAGTTTCTCGAATTAAGTGTGAAACAACATGAAATCGGGCACCATCATCCAGCATTCCATACTGGGATCTAAAAGCAAGCAATGCCCTACACAAAAGATCATGCAATGTCATAAATCCATCGAGAATTAGGGGAACGCTTTGGATCATCATGGATTTATATCTTATATAGCACTTTAAAACCATAGAAACTAAACAACAAAATATCAACAATTAAAATCGTAGAACACAATTTGGAACAGAAAACTAACAGTACCAAATGAAAAGCTGCAATCTACTCTTGCTTTGCTCGTCCTCAGCAGCCAGAAGACAAGGCAGAAGGGGAATGACCTGTTGTACACACCGAGATGCCCTTTCAAGAGAAGATTTACACAGATATTGGATCAGCAGTCGAAAAACAATTCTTGGGCACTTGTCCGTTCTTAGTAGCATAGCCTTGTCAACATTTTTATTCGGTTTTCCACCCAACACATTGCTAATTCCCCCAGATACAACAACTGCAGCCATTTCTGCAGCAGGTATATTCAGTGATTCTACCAAACCACGAGCTCTTTGGCCAAATGATGGCCCTGCCGCTGATGAAGATTTGGGTAACATCTTGCTTGGTCCCTTCCCATTCATCTCACTAATAATGATCCACACATTGTCATACAAATTCCACCACTCATCATCAATTCTCTCATCTTCAGTTGTCACAGGCTGCTTCTGTACCAATGGGTTTCTAGAACCAAAATAATCATATCATGAGCTTGTACCAAATCACAACACACTAAAAGTAGTAAACTGTAAAAAATTCTAAAAAATATATACAATTAACATTCATGCATGATGCATCACACACACAAACATTTTAATATATTATTACCGTACGTTTAGCACCATAACATACTACACAAAAGTATTTAAAAAAACTTGCCCATACAAAACCACTTGCATGAGACATTTAATAAATTAGGGAAAAAACGGAAAAAAAAACTGATGCATTTAAAGACTAAGAGCCTTTTGACTAATTGACCATTTCAAAGTTTGTGGGCTTTTGACGTTTGAGAGAGAGAGAGAGGAAGGTGGGAAAGAGAGAACCAGAGACAATCCATTGTGGATGCGATCGGAGGCCCCAATCAAAGGTCACTGGAATACTAAGCCAATGCGACTGCTTTCACAAGTTATCTCAAGTTGTTCATGGCAATTAGTCCACAATTTGACAAGTTTGTGTTACGAATTCTCTCGATTCCTTCTTCTATTCAAATAATTGCAAAAAAGGGTGATTTAGGGTTGAATTCATGAAAGATTTCTTGTGGGTTTTTATGATTTAGGGCTGAAAATCCCACTTCTTCTTTCTTTGCCTTTTCTTTGGCTTCTTGCTATTTAGAGATTTCTTGAACTAGTTTTAGATTTTTCTGCTTAGGTTTTTTCCATCCTAGATGTTGGCTTGCACAATGATTCTCCCATCTAGTTGTCATTACGTTACGAATAGGCCGATTCCAATGAATTGTCCCCAAGTCAGGCCGAGTCAACACCGATTCATGTGAGACTCATATTATATGCACGACGTGTATCGTTATCGTATTGGTGGAGGTCGAGTCAAATACGACTTGGCGGAGTTAACTTTAACTCCGCCTCGGCCGAGTCTTTGAATCCCTGGACATACTCATAGGTACAGTCCACAAAACTAAATGACCCAAAAGTTCTTTTCTCCCCTTGCCTAACTAGCTCCAAGGCACTTATTTCTCACAACCTTGACAAACCTTTGACCAACCTTATCCACAAAAACCACTAATCCTCATCCCAATAAAGACCTTTGTTCATTTAGAGAGCACATGTCAGCTAGAAAGATCTTTCTGGAAAAACTTACTAACTGACAAAAATCATTTAATTATAAGGTAATTCACAAGGAGAGCGTTACAAAGCTTGAAAACATTAAGAAAGTCATGGTAATTTTATAAACAAGAAAACCTTTTACGACATTTTTCTATCGAGATCGCATCTGGGTATTATGAATTATAGGGTAACAACTACAATTGGTACTCCCAATGCAAGTGCTAGGATGGATGGGTTAGGGAAGTTTTAAAATTGGCATTATTTGCACAAAGGTGGCAGCTCTCATGCAAACCTAATTTCTCACCCTTAAGAGGCCCAACATTTACCAACGAACCCATTAATTACCATTATATCATGATCATAACACACAAGAAAAATAAGATAGGTCACACTAAATACTTACGAAATTAAACAGTCGAACTTTTCATTGTTTTCCCGAAAAGAAGGTAAAAAAACTGCCAGTAGTCTTCAATGAATAGATAGACAACCATACCCACGATAAAATAAAGACTACATTCTACTAGGACTACATAGAAAAAATGTTGGTTTTGCCAACAAACATTAAAACGATTTTGTACGAGTCAAAAATTTTCAAATACTACAAATGCCAAAAGTCTGCAAAAAAAAAAATGGCAATACCTGCATTGATCATCAAATTCTCCTTGCAAGGCCTCACACAAAGCAGAACCAAGATCCTTGTGACTTTGTAGTTCTAAAAATTCAGGAGAAAAATCTGAGCTACTTGCGGGAAACTGTAGGCAATCAAAAGAGAAAAATCAAGTTTCTCTTCATATTATAGAAAACATTAAACATCACTGATGCCAGCAGAAACAAAATCACCACTATTTAGCAAACTAGTACCAAGTTCCTCTATGCAAGTGATACCAGCACGTCAAAAAATCATAGAAAATTAAATGACAAGAAGAAAAATCGACTGGAAATCCAGCAATATTTCTCCAAGAGAAATCTGGAGCTTGAGGACCTCATTTGCTTTATGTAGGGAATAGGGATTCTCTCCTTTGACGTCCCATTAAAGTGTAATCTTAAAAAGCTCTTCGTTTCTGTTTGTCCTTTATTGAAGTGTAGTTGCAACCCGTCTTTAGAACTCATTCTAGGTTCCCTTCCAAATTTGATTTAAGAAAACGCCAGATAAGAACTGACACTGTCCAATGAAATGTTCAAGATTTTTTATCTTGATTTGGTAGCTCCTCTAATGAGATTACATAGTTAGATTATGTCACTCTACCCAATGAACATCTTCAACTTCTTCCTATTCAGCCAATGGCTGTCAGCCCAATACAACAATACCTACATCAACTGCTTCTCCTGTCCTGTCCACTCTAACAATCGATCATGGCCGTTCATACCACCTCAACCCTCATTCTTTTTGGACATCTTCAACTTGGACAAAAAAATTCAATGCCTTTATTGATCTGCAAAGCACATGACATCACTATCTTGGTAGGCATCCATTCATTGTGTCTACAGGCAATGCCACTTCTATCTTCCCACAAGTGGAGTTTTCATTTCTATTCTATGGCAGTCATCCATCTCAAAGTCTCATGTCAGCAACCTATAATTCTAACCCCCACATTGGATACAATCATACAAACCCTTTCGAGCTTTGAACCAACCAATGCACCCAAGCCTCCTACCAGATACCCCTACTAGAAATCAATGAATTAAGGTATGTGTACATGTGTCTCAGAACAATGCAATTACATTTCCATAAAANTCCCACATTGGATACAAACAAGGATCAAAATTTTGTTTCGAAGTACCGTTTCGGTCAACTCAAAAATAGAAACGTTTCGGAAACATTTCGGAAACGCAATGGAAAAGCAGAAAAAATATGGAAACGCATAGAAACACAAATGCAATCCATTAATTTATAAAGATATGCTAAATAATTTATTAATTCAACATATTTATTAGGTTAACATCAATTTATACAAGAATAAATTTAAATTTGAGGGAAAAAAAGGCTTGACTTGAGGCGAAAGTCACTTAAATTAGTTTCAAACACTTAATTTTTATGAAATAAACACATTTTTACATAATATTAAGGTCTTATAATACACATGAAATGCTAATGAGTACATACTTACATGGTTACATCCATTCCCCTGTGGAGTGTCGAGCAGGCTCATACATCGGTGTAGGCTCTGGGTAGCTACTTAGAGAAACTNGTACTGGTTGAGAAACAGGAGGTCTAAAAGAACAGAACTATATTCACCAGGACGTCAGTAAGTACATATGCATATACTCATGCCCAGCTATGGCACATATCCGGTATTAAGCTTGTCCAAAACATATAATGTAAACTGTGCCCACGTCTAGCATTACGTAAGTCACATTCCAGGCAAGCAAGATATTTTATGCGTTCCCAACTAGGAAGCACGGACACTTCACTCTGGGCAGAGTATCGGTGTCTACACGTCTGGGACACAGACACATGTCGTAAATGTTAAAATGAGGTCCAATTTTTTTTATTGATAAATTTTTTTCAACACACGCTGAGGACACGCAGCCAACACACTCAGGACATATTGAAGACACGTGGTAGACATGCTAGGGACACGTTTTGAGATTTATTTTCAATTTTTTGATAACTGCTCAGATAATTTTATAATTAAGAGTTATTTTTGTAATTTTAAAGGGATATGAGGCACAATTTTAATATAAAAGAAGTCATAATCATTACATTGGACAAAGGACATGGATGTAACATAATTTTATATACGAATATGAACTTATATACAAATGGAAGGAACTTTTAATATGAAAATAATGTGAAAAAAAATGAGGTTACAAAATTGGGACTCTTGAAAATTAGCGAAAATTAGTATTACGAAGTGAAATATTTTAGAAAATAAAAGTTGCAGTAGTCATTGATTGTTGGATCATGGATGTTAATGTTGAATGTGAATCGGTATATTTTATATTGTAATTTTTATATAGTGATATCACGATGTGAATTTTTAGAATTAGGGAAATAATTAATTAAAAGATTATTATAATTATATTTTTATTTTATTACATTATTATATATAAAAATAATAAAGTATAATACAATTCAAATCTCAAAATATAAACAAAATGACTTTTATTTTTCACGGTTGAGATCTCTTTAAATTTTACTTTAAAGTTAATCCGACGACTAATATTAATACCTCAAATTTAATAGGAAATAGACCTATAAAGGTGTATTTGGGTGACTTTTTAAAAGTACTTTATAACTTCTTATAAGTACTTTAAAAAAAAATAGTGTTTGAAACCGTCCCACCACCGCTGCCAACCCACCATCGTCACTGCCACCCCCACTACCACCACCACCATTACTGTCGCCACCCCACCACCACCTTTGCCACAACAACCACCGCCACCGCCACCCCAACCATCACCTCTATTACCGCCCCACCACCACCACCACCATCACTACTGCTGTCATCCTACCACCACAACTACTGTCCCACCATCACCCCCTCCCACCACCACCTCCGTCGTCACCCCACCACCACTGTTGCCACCGTCATCGCCACCCACTACCATCCACACCTACCACCATCATCACTACCGTAATTCACCACCACTCATCACACTATTGCCCAAACAAGCCCGTCATCGCCCACCACCACCATTACCAACCACTATCACCGTCGTCACCTATGACTACCACTAGCACAATCGTCACCCAAAACCAACAACCACCGCCATCACCGTTGCTACCCACGACTGCCACCATCACTACGTTCGTCGTTAGGGATGTCAATGGACCGAAGCGGGGGCGGGGGCGGGGGCGGGGGGTATACTCTTCATCCCCGTACCTACTTAAAAACCTTCGTTCATCCCCAGTCCACCCCCGCTAATGGGTATAATTTTCATCACCATCCCCGTCCGCGGGTAAACTTATAATCCTCGTCCTAGTCCTTGTTTCCCCCGTACCCGCCCAAGCACAAGTAAAGTCATAAGAATTAAAAGAGCTTAATTTTTTTTTCTGCTATGATCAGAATAGAAGATGTAACAATATAAAAAGTGTCTTCTTTTCTTTGCACTCAATTATGTTGAAACAAAGAAAATTATTTTGAGAGATAATTAGCTACAATTCCATGAAAATTGTTGTGGTCTGTTTCAACAAGGTCATAGCCTGCATAATGTTCCAAAAACANACCCCTACTAGAAATCAATGAATTAAGGTATGTGTACATGTGTCTCAGAACAATGCAATTACATTTCCATAAAAACAACGATGATTCAGGCAAGCAAACTGCCATTTAAAGCACTAGTGCAATTTTCAAAATCAAAAGGCCATGCATCCAACTCGAGTAGTACAACAATAATGATCAATGATGATGATTAAGTGTAATGAGTTTCCAACAGAGGGAAAGCAATGGGAGAGGGACAAAATAAAGATGCATCAGGCCTTTCAAGCATTCAACAATGGCCCTTGAGAATTGATTTTCACAAGCTAAACTATGTACTGGTTGAGAAACAGGAGGTCTAAAAGAACAGAACTATATTCACCAGGACGTCAGTAAGTACATATGCATATACTCATGCCCAGCTATGGCACATATCCGGTATTAAGCTTGTCCAAAACATATAATGTAAACTGTGCCCACGTCTAGCATTACGTAAGTCACATTCCAGGCAAGCAAGATATTTTATGCGTTCCCAACTAGGAAGCACGGACACTTCACTCTGGGCAGAGTATCGGTGTCTACACGTCTGGGACACAGACACATGTCGTAAATGTTAAAATGAGGTCCAATTTTTTTTATTGATAAATTTTTTTCAACACACGCTGAGGACACGCAGCCAACACACTCAGGACATATTGAAGACACGTGGTAGACATGCTAGGGACACGTTTTGAGATTTATTTTCAATTTTTTGATAACTGCTCAGATAATTTTATAATTAAGAGTTATTTTTGTAATTTTAAAGGGATATGAGGCACAATTTTAATATAAAAGAAGTCATAATCATTACATTGGACAAAGGACATGGATGTAACATAATTTTATATACGAATATGAACTTATATACAAATGGAAGGAACTTTTAATATGAAAATAATGTGAAAAAAAATGAGGTTACAAAATTGGGACTCTTGAAAATTAGCGAAAATTAGTATTACGAAGTGAAATATTTTAGAAAATAAAAGTTGCAGTAGTCATTGATTGTTGGATCATGGATGTTAATGTTGAATGTGAATCGGTATATTTTATATTGTAATTTTTATATAGTGATATCATGATGTGAATTTTTAGAATTAGGGAAATAATTAATTAAAAGATTATTATAATTATATTTTTATTTTATTACATGATTATATATAAAAATAATAAAGTATAATACAATTCAAATCTCAAAATATAAACAAAATGACTTTTATTTTTCACGGTTGAGATCTCTTTAAATTTTACTTTAAAGTTAATCCGACGACTAATATTAATACCTCAAATTTAATAGGAAATAGACCTATAAAGGTGTATTTGGGTGACTTTTTAAAAGTACTTTATAACTTCTTATAAGTACTTTAAAAAAAAATAGTGTTTGAAACCGTCCCACCACCGCTGCCAACCCACCATCGTCACTGCCACCCCCACTACCACCACCACCATTACTGTCGCCACCCCACCACCACCTTTGCCACAACAACCACCGCCACCGCCACCCCAACCATCACCTCTATTACCGCCCCACCACCACCACCACCATCACTACTGCTGTCATCCTACCACCACAACTACTGTCCCACCATCACCCCCTCCCACCACCACCTCCGTCGTCACCCCACCACCACTGTTGCCACCGTCATCGCCACCCACTACCATCCACACCTACCACCATCATCACTACCGTAATTCACCACCACTCATCACACTATTGCCCAAACAAGCCCGTCATCGCCCACCACCACCATTACCAACCACTATCACCGTCGTCACCTATGACTACCACTAGCACAATCGTCACCCAAAACCAACAACCACCGCCATCACCGTTGCTACCCACGACTACCACCATCACTACGTTCGTCGTTAGGGATGTCAATGGACCGAAGCGGGGGCGGGGGCGGGGGCGGGGGGTATACTCTTCATCCCCGTACCTACTTAAAAACCTTCGTTCATCCCCAGTCCACCCCCGCTAATGGGTATAATTTTCATCCCCATTCCCGTCCGCGGGTAAACTTATAATCCTCGTCCTAGTCCTTGTTTCCCCCGTACCCGCCCAAGCACAAGTAAAGTCATAAGAATTAAAAGAGCTTAATTTTTTTTTCTGCTATGATCAGAATAGAAGATGTAACAATATAAAAAGTGTCTTCTTTTCTTTGCACTCAATTATGTTGAAACAAAGAAAATTATTTTGAGAGATAATTAGCTACAATTCCATGAAAATTGTTGTGGTCTGTTTCAACAAGGTCATAGCCTGCATAATGTTCCAAAAACATTTGCTAAAATGACAAAAAGAAGGGAACCCACAAATATGTCATCTATGTGTTCTGAAATTATGACATCCATTAATGACATCACACATGGAATGCAAGTAAAGGATGATAAAAGCCCAATGTAAAAGGAATTTATGTTTCTGGAACTTCTAATAAAAATTTATAATCACACCTATGCCAAGAAATTTCATCTGGTGAACTCCTCTTTAATTTGTAAAAAAATACCGAATGTAATGAAGAAGTAATTGATCAATGTAATGACCTACACGTGATTTTACCCCAAGCCAAATTGTTCTCTCAGTAAGTAAAGAAGCCTATACGTGATCAATGTAATGACCTATATGTGACCTATATATATATATATATATAACAGGTAACGGAGACGGGACGGGGTTAAGGGTAAGTCCATCCCTGCCTTCATCCCCACACGGGTTTATACGAGTATCCCCGTATACGTCCACCGTCCAATACGTATAGTCCATCCCCGGTCCAAACGGAATGGGTTTGGACGAATACCCATTTTTCCCCGGTCCACTGCCATTCCTAATCGTCGCCACCCGCCACAACCATCACCGTCTCCTTCCACCACCACCACCACCACTGCCACTGCTCACCCCTATTACAACTGGGGTTTAAATTTTTTTCTCTCTCCTCTATATTTATGATTTGATTTTTGGTATGAATACAAATATATTTATTGTTGATCTTTTTTTTATTACTCTGTGTTTTCAGGCACAGATAATAACTAGTATATATATATTTTATATTTATATATATAAATACATATTATTTAAGTATCACCAACGTATCCGTATCCTACTTTTTTTAAAAATTCGTCTCGCCATGTCCATGTTGTATCGTATTCATGTTCCGTATCCGTGTTTCTTAGGTTCTCAAACTACATCACAAGCAAATTCCTTTAACAAGTCACCACAGCTAAGGATGCTTTCGCAATGCCTTTTATTTATTTTACTTCAATGGTTCATGCATGTTTCCTTCATAAATGTTTAAATTCGTCCAACTATTTTGTCCATTCCTCATTTACGAAAAATAATAGTTTATTGGAAATCTTTTCAATAGCTAAATGACCTGAGGGATGCTCTCATCGCAAATGCTAAACCCGCAAATCCATCCCCCCCCCCCCACACACAAAAAATAATAATAATAATAAAAAAGAAAGCACATAAAGACAAACAAGAAAGATAAATACTCAAGTAAATTAGATACCGGAAGCTTATGATCAATTTCAGAGACCAACAGCTCATCAACTAGTTTCAGAAGGTATAATGTATTGTCTCGACATGGCTGTGTGACAAAAATACCGTCCACCAAAGATAAATCTATCAGCATCCGAATTAAGTGCTCATATATATCACGAAGCAGGTACCGATATGAGATGCCACCCTGGAGAACATTGAAAGTTTGATGAAGTAAACACAGCCAGTTACAAATTGAACTAAAAGATTTAAAATTGTTACGGGGCAAAGAGAGAAGCATACTTGTTCACATTGTATAAGCAAAAAATTCAGAGTCTCCTCTAGATGTTGCCAACCACCTTTCACAGAATGCATATAATGACAAAGAACAATGCAATATAAATTCCTCACTAAACTCTGCTCATTCACTTCACTGTCAGTGCAAGTTTGTGACTCTACTTTGTAAGTTCTCAACGCATCAAGCTTCACTGAAGCAACTAACCACGCATTCCATCCATGTTCCTATTTAAAATATTCAAGTAATTATAAGATAGCATATGAATGCAAAAAACACAACAACAATTTAGACAAACCGAACCATCAAAGCTTCAATGTTCGAAGGATTTGACTCAAGAAGATCAAGTAAATCACTAATTATTTTTGTCCTTGCAGTTACGTCCTCACAGCCAGACAGGAATCTGAAAATGAGAACCAAAATCTGAGGAAGAAAGAACTGAGAGTTATTCCCCCTGCTTCTCTGCTGATCAAGTTGGTTATGTTTCTGTAAAACCTGGCAACAACAATTCGAAAGATACCAATTCATACATGCACGGGTATGCCTACTAAATTTAATCGATTAATCAATGATGTACAAGAGAAAAATGAACCAAAATGATAAGGAACCACCAAATGAAAACAGAAAGCGAGACTCATATATTATGGATCACCTGTTTAGGGCTTGCACCACCAAGAAGAACGTCAAACAAGGTTGCACATAGAAGATCTGACTGAGGGAATCTAAACAGTCTATCTGATATGGCAGAGAAAATTGGTTGCATCCTCGATCTGATTTTTTTATGGCCTTCTGAGAGAGATTTCGATCTTCCGACAGCAATATTAAAAAATTTTGAACCCTTCTTTTCTGCTGGGAGCGCGACCAAAAGTCTTCCAAGGAACTGCAAGCCGAGCAATCTGATGGGCTCACAATCCCTTAGAACAAACAAGTTGGAGGATACAGCATTAAATTCAGAATTATATTATGCATGTTTGACTACAAACCATGCTTTTGCAGCCTCTAATCACAGCATCGCAGGTTGACAGGGAAAATAATACATGTGAAATATCCACGTTTTTTAGCAATAAATCAATTTTTGAGTTATTAATCACAAGGTACATTGCAAGATTTATTCTCACTGACAAAGGAAAAAATATAAATTAGAAGTTGTTCGCAAAGAGGAACTTAGCAATAGGTTATTACAAAAAACAAGATTTCAGAAAAACAAATGTAGAATTTAAATTAGAAGCCAAGATATCATATATTTACTGTACATTTACAATTTTTCAACTTTTTACACTTATTCAGAGCAATATAGCTGTGGTATCTCCGAGTGTTAAATTTTGGTGCCTCTGATTTAAATAATATAATAGCACGATAATTATTTGCATTAAGCATGATTCTGGAATATAGAACTAAACAGTATGTGCGAAAATTTATAGCAGAAATTTTGTGCATCCAAATCGATCAACACATAAGTATGAGCCAATTTTAAAATTTCTACTAAATGCATTGTACAGGTCTAAACTGGCAATCCACATCAACATTCATCAATCAATGACTTCTGCAACCAGCTAGCTGACAGCACGACATAGTCCTCACAAAAAAGTGCAGCTCAAATGCATTGTCCACCTTATAAAAACAAATCGAACATAAATCATTAGCTTGTTCTGTCAGTTCACTTTTAAGCAATGGTTGTTTGAATCCATTTTGGAGCAGCCTGCAAACAAGCATTCTCCTACGGACAGCATGCTATCAGGCTGCCCTTCTCACATCCATTTCTATTTTCTCAATATTCAATCTTGCACATCAAGTTTGTTCCCAATGGAAATTTATCAAAAACTTTTCACATCTTACATCTTTTATAGAAAGTTCAATTCAGTTATAGCATTTTTTTGGACTTAATCTTCTAATAGCGTTCTTGGGTACATGCAAAATTGAGACTCATGCTTATTGCGCCCATCATAATCGCTCATCACTTCGTACAACAGCTGCCCAACAAGATGGTGTGACAAAGAAGACATATATTGGATGTTTCAGGAGCCATGGTAATTAATATATGTGCCACAACAGCTTTAAAGGATACATTTTTACTACTTATGATTAGTCATGTTATATCACACTAAATATTTTTTAGGTCAAACTTCAAGTACCGTACTCTTTACAAATTGAACTCTGTTTGAGTCTCTATCTAAAACATTTGAAAGGTCACAAATAAATGTATATTTGGGATCACTTCATCATATCACACTAAATATTTTTTAGGTGAAACTTCAAGTACAGATTGAACTCTGGTTGAGTCTCCTTTCTATTAGTCAAGCTAATTTACATCCTCCTTTCCAACAAGTTAGGTAGGGGTGGCAATTTTTGACACGACACGATAACCCGATACGAACACGACACGAATAAATGGGTTTGGGTTGACTAAATTTTTGACCCAACCCGTTTATGACACGACCCGTCAACACGGAGTGTTAATGGGTCGTGTTCGGGTTCAACCCGTTTAACCCGAAGTTACCCAAATTGACCCGTGTATTTAATCGGGTTGACACGAACCCAACTGACCTGTTTTGACCCGAAATTACCCACTTATATATAAAGAATTTAATTACTATTTCTCAAACCCTACCTTTATTTCCTACTTTTCTCTATCCAGCAGTAGCTAGCCATCCCGCCTCCCTCCCTGAGCTCCCTCCTTCCCTCGGTCTCAGCTTAGTGTGGGCATCAGCGACCAGTAGGTCCGGCGGTACCAGGTAAGATCTCTCTCTCTCTCTCGCTCTTTCTCTTGCTCTTTCTCCGTCTTTCTCTGTCCGGCGNAGCGACCAGTAGGTCCGGCGGTACCAGGTAAGATCTCTCTCTCTCTCTCTCGCTCTTTCTCTTGCTCTTTCTCCGTCTTTCTCTGTCCGGCGATACCAGGTAAGATCGACCAGTTGTCACTACATTTATTTAGGCTATTACGTTTCTGATAGCTGTCACCTTGTGCAAATATGTTGATGACTAATTTAGATTTTTTTAATGCTTAGAGAAGCACTGTGTTGAATGTGCAAGACATAAGAAAGGTGATGCTCACAGATTTTGTGAACCATTAAAATGATATTTGTAGGAACTCTGTTGAATTTAAGTTTTTAATATTGTTCAAAACTCCCCTATCCTGAAGCAAATTTAGTGACAACAAATCATACCATTTTCTGGTTGTGTCATAGTTCAGATAGAGTAAGCACAGAATTTAAGTAGTCTAATCCTTCGTGCAGTTGGTTGGGATATTCAGAGTCTTCCGTATTTTAGCAAGTCTTTCTTTGAGCTTTGCTTGCAACCCCGCAAATGTCTTCTGACATTTTGGTGGGCTTCTATCAGGATGCCATTAGTTTGGGTGTTTTAGGAAGAGTGGTTGGCATCTCCACCAAACAAAGTAGTATTTTATGCACTTCTTGGTAGATTTTCAGACATGATGTCTGAGTTCCGGTTCAAAGGAGGGGAAGAAACAAGGCTGACTACCGATAGTCTGAAAGGTTATTTAGATTTTTTTAATCCTTAGAGAAACACTGTGTTTTATGTACAACCTCCATATTGTGTAAACTTCTACTCTTCTTTTGTTTATATTCACTGAAATCAAATAGTCCTCTGCATTTCTTTTGTTTTCCGACTTAATTTCCGTTTTTTGAATGTTCATTAGGTTTCTAATTGGCAAAAAATCTTGTCAGGAAAATGGAGGATACATCATGTACTCAACAGATTGTGGATGTCAATATTGAGAATGCATCCAATGCTGCCCCAGATACAGAAAGTAGAGANTGTATTTTGAATGTTCATTAGATTTCTAATTGGCAAAAAATCTTGTCAGGAAAATGGAGGATACATCATGTACTCAACAGACTGTGGATGTCAATATTGAGAATGCATCCAATGCTGCCCCAGATACAGAAAGTAGAGATAATACGAATGATGAAAAACGACAATGTACTTCCACATCAAAGGTATGGGGGTTTTTTAGAAAGTATGTAAATCAAGACAATATTTTAAAGGCACAATGCAACAAATGTAAGATTGAGTACAATGGTGCTAGTAACTATGGGATTGGTAATTTATGGCGTCATTTAAAGACTTGTTTGAAACAACGTGATGTGGGTCAGATGATTTTAAGTCAAAGTCAAGAGTCTATTACTGCACGGTCTTTGAAGTTTAACGAGGAAAAATTTCGAGAGATGTTAATAAGTGCAATAATTAGACATGATTTGCCCTTTCAATTTGTTGAGTATGAATGTGTTAGACAAATCTTTGGCTACTTAAATCCAAATGTCAAATTCATTACAAGAAACACAGGTAATGCATGCAAAAGAGATGCGTAGGTTGTCTGTTATCTTGCACGACATACCTGGCAAGATAGGTTTGATTTCTGATTTGTGGACATCTATTGCTACCGATGGGTATTTAAGTCTCGCAGCACATTTCATCGACAAAGATTGGATAATGCAAAAAAGAATTCTGAATTTCTCTTACATGCCTCCTCCACACAGTGGCATCGCACAGGCTGACAAGATTTATAGTTTGTTGACAAAATGGGGGTTTGAGAAAAAATTGTTTTCAATTACTTTGGATAATGCTTCTGCAAATGATGTCATGGTTGATATGCTTAAGAATCAACTTAATTTGATAGATGCTTTACTTGGTGATGGTGGGTTTTTTCATATTCGTTGTTGTGCTCATATTCTAAACTTGATTGTGCAAGAAGGGTTGAAAGAAGTAGATTTAGCTGTGGAAAAAGTCAGAGAGAGTATCAAGTATGTAAAAGGTTCTCAGACAAGAAAACAAAAATTCTTAGTGTGTGTTGCACAGACATCTTTAGATAGCAAAAAAAGTTTGAGGCAAGATGTTCCTACTAGATGGAACTCAACATATTTGATGCTTGCAAGTGCAATTTACTACCGTCGTGCCTTTTGTCATTTGCAACTTGTGGATTCTAATTTTAAGTATTTCTCATCTCAAGAGAAATGGATCAAAGTTGAAAAGATTCAGATGTTTTTAAAAAATTTCTATGATACTACTGTTATCTTTTCTGGCTCCAAGTACCCCATATCAAACTTGTATTTTCAACAAGTTTTCAGTATTCAATTGACTTTGAATAGAGAAATGCAAAGTTTGGATACTTTTATGAGAATAATGTCTTGTCAAATGTATGAAAAATTTGAAAAGTATTAGTTGGAGTATAGCGTTATATTGGCCATTGCAATTGTGTTTAATCATCACTATAAACTTGACTTTGTGGAGTAGTACTATAAGAAGCTTTATGGTGAAGGCTCTCTTGAGTATTTTCATGTTCGAGACAAGCTTTTTTCTCTATTTGATGAGTATATAAGCAAATTTGTTCCTCGTGGTGGTCTAGTTGCTTGTGATCCACAACCTGTGTTAGATTTAAAGCTATTTAATTTTTTGTTTTATAGTTTTTATTGTATTAGATTAATACTATTGATAGTCTATGATTTCAAAGTCTGTGATTTTGATAATGTAGGCATTTGTCATTGAGAGCAATGCATCTGGTCTTAAAACACAAAAAAGTCAATTGCAATTGTATTTGGATGAGCCTAGGGTTGACATAGAAACAGAATTTCTTGTTCTTGATTATTGGAGAGCTCATCAGTATCGTTATCCGGAACTTGCTATGATGGCCCGTGATGTGTTAACTATTCCAATTTCTACGGTTACTTCAGAATCAGCTTTTAGTATTGGTGGTCGGGTTCTTAACCAATACCGTAGTGCTTTGAAGCCTCATGTTGTGGAGGCCTTGATGTGCACTAGAGATTGGCTATATGCAGAAAAAGGTAATAAATATAATTTGTGATGATTGCGATATTTAATTATTCTTACNCGCACAGGCTGACAAGATTTATAGTTTGTTGACAAAATGGGGGTTTGAGAAAAAATTGTTTTCAATTACTTTGGATAATGCTTCTGCAAATGATGTCATGGTTGATATGCTTAAGAATCAACTTAATTTGATAGATGCTTTACTTGGTGATGGTGGGTTTTTTCATATTCGTTGTTGTGCTCATATTCTAAACTTGATTGTGCAAGAAGGGTTGAAAGAAGTAGATTTAGCTGTGGAAAAAGTCAGAGAGAGTATCAAGTATGTAAAAGGTTCTCAGACAAGAAAACAAAAATTCTTAGTGTGTGTTGCACAGACATCTTTAGATAGCAAAAAAAGTTTGAGGCAAGATGTTCCTACTAGATGGAACTCAACATATTTGATGCTTGCAAGTGCAATTTACTACCGTCGTGCCTTTTGTCATTTGCAACTTGTGGATTCTAATTTTAAGTATTTCTCATCTCAAGAGAAATGGATCAAAGTTGAAAAGATTCAGATGTTTTTAAAAAATTTCTATGATACTACTGTTATCTTTTCTGGCTCCAAGTACCCCATATCAAACTTGTATTTTCAACAAGTTTTCAGTATTCAATTGACTTTGAATAGAGAAATGCAAAGTTTGGATACTTTTATGAGAATAATGTCTTGTCAAATGTATGAAAAATTTGAAAAGTATTAGTTGGAGTATAGCGTTATATTGGCCATTGCAATTGTGTTTAATCATCACTATAAACTTGACTTTGTGGAGTAGTACTATAAGAAGCTTTATGGTGAAGGCTCTCTTGAGTATTTTCATGTTCGAGACAAGCTTTTTTCTCTATTTGATGAGTATATAAGCAAATTTGTTCCTCGTGGTGGTCTAGTTGCTTGTGATCCACAACCTGTGTTAGATTTAAAGCTATTTAATTTTTTGTTTTATAGTTTTTATTGTATTAGATTAATACTATTGATAGTCTATGATTTCAAAGTCTGTGATTTTGATAATGTAGGCATTTGTCATTGAGAGCAATGCATCTGGTCTTAAAACACAAAAAAGTCAATTGCAATTGTATTTGGATGAGCCTAGGGTTGACATAGAAACAGAATTTCTTGTTCTTGATTATTGGAGAGCTCATCAGTATCGTTATCCGGAACTTGCTATGATGGCCCGTGATGTGTTAACTATTCCAATTTCTACGGTTACTTCAGAATCAGCTTTTAGTATTGGTGGTCGGGTTCTTAACCAATACCGTAGTGCTTTGAAGCCTCATGTTGTGGAGGCCTTGATGTGCACTAGAGATTGGCTATATGCAGAAAAAGGTAATAAATATAATTTGTGATGATTGCGATATTTAATTATTCTTACAAATATTAAATTCTTATTTATATGCTTTCCTTATTGTCATTTAGAAAATTCACAAGTGCAATTGGAAGAGCCCATAGAAGATGTATAAATCCGACTTTGAACAAAAATGAGGAGGATGCGTCGGTGCAATGTTCAAATGTNTAATGTCTTGTCAAATGTATGAAAAATTTGAAAAGTATTAGTTGGAGTATAGCGTTATATTGGCCATTGCAATTGTGTTTAATCATCACTATAAACTTGACTTTGTGGAGTAGTACTATAAGAAGCTTTATGGTNCGGGGATTTTAGTAAAGTGTTTTGAATATTTGTAATATTATGGAGATTTGTATTTGTTTTTGAGATATTTGTGATGTTTTAGCCTTTGTTTTATGTAGATTTGCATTTGGGATATTTGTAANCTTTTTTCTCTATTTGATGAGTATATAAGCAAATTTGTTCCTCGTGGTGGTCTAGTTGCTTGTGATCCACAACCTGTGTTAGATTTAAAGCTATTTAATTTTTTGTTTTATAGTTTTTATTGTATTAGATTAATACTATTGATAGTCTATGATTTCAAAGTCTGTGATTTTGATAATGTAGGCATTTGTCATTGAGAGCAATGCATCTGGTCTTAAAACACAAAAAAGTCAATTGCAATTGTATTTGGATGAGCCTAGGGTTGACATAGAAACAGAATTTCTTGTTCTTGATTATTGGAGAGCTCATCAGTATCGTTATCCGGAACTTGCTATGATGGCCCGTGATGTGTTAACTATTCCAATTTTTACGGTTACTTCAGAATCAGCTTTTAGTATTGGTGGTCGGGTTCTTAACCAATACCGTAGTGCTTTGAAGCCTCATGTTGTGGAGGCCTTGATGTGCACTAGAGATTGGCTATATGCAGAAAAAGGTAATAAATATAATTTGTGATGATTGCGATATTTAATTATTCTTACAAATATTAAATTCTTATTTATATGCTTTCCTTATTGTCATTTAGAAAATTCACAAGTGCAATTGGAAGAGCCCATAGAAGATGTATAAATCCGACTTTGAACAAAAATGAGGAGGATGCGTCGGTGCAATGTTCAAATGTGATTGTGGATCTTGATTGTTGATGTGTGTGAATCATAAAACTTAAACTCTTTTTCTCAATCTTATGTGTTTGTTGATGTGTGTTGAGTCATAAAACCTAACTCTTTTTATGTGGGTTTTTTATAGGGGATAGTGGGTCTTGATTGTTGATGTTGGCCAGATTTAAGAGATGAAGAGAATTTGAAAGATGCTTGTAATATTGCTTGGGGATTTTAGTAAAGTTTTTTGAATATTTGTAATATTATGGAGATTTGTATTTGTTTTTGAGATATTTGTGATGTTTTAGCCTTTGTTTTATGTAGATTTGCATTTGGGATATTTGTAACATGTCTAAAATTTTCCTTTTTTTGTTATGTCATGTCGGGTTGGGTCATGTTAGGCAGATTGGGTTGTGTTTACCTGAACACGATCTGTGTAAATCTCGGGTCACAGGTCGTGTCGGGTTAGTCGTGTTTCGAGTCAAGTCGTATTCGTGTCCAAATGACCTAACCCGTTTAACTAGCAGGTCGTGTTTGGGTTGATGTGTTTTCAACCTGAACCCGACATGACATGACCCAGACACGACACGATTGCCACCCCTAAAGTTAGGCCTCCACAAGCTTTCCAAACAAAGGCATTAAACATAGTGGTAGTCCTTATACTGACTGAAAGCAGACATTACTAACAAAAACCTAAAGACGCTGACACAATATAACCCACGTGACACTTTAAAGGATATAGTACTTCAAGGAAAATTGTCGAAACAGTAGAACACAACCCGCAAGCAAAGAATAGGAGCATACCAATTGGGGAAAGAGATTTCATAATCAATCCAAAAGACAAGAATTTTCAATTGAAAAAAGAACTGCTCTATGGCCATATATATTCAAGATAAAAGGCACACCTTTCAAGAAGATTGACAAAGATGTGAGAGCCACCAATTAAATTGACTTGTTCCAGAAAAGAAGCAAGCAGTGCTTTTTGGGAAACAGCACGAATAACCATATGTAAAACATCTTCAATGCATGCCATATCTTGACTTGTCTCGAAAAAAGCTATAAGAGCTTTGATATCTGATGCTGCAATGTTCTGCCTGCATGTCATTAGCATCTTTGAATAAAATTCCAAAAAGCTTGCATAAAGTAATCCGCTATATCATTGTACTTAGCATTGAATTTTTTTATTTTTTTTTGAACGTGTACTTGGGACTGAATAGGCGAACAGAAATAACAGTGTACATGTACTAGAGAATGTAAGTTGGAGACAATCTGGCATAGGAAGACACTTTACCTGAGGCTCATCTCACCAAGACTTAGTAGAAGAAGACGAATTTTATGTATTTCTTGTTTATTAGGTCTCTCTCCAATAACTTGGTTTGTTATGGGATGCAGTAGAGGCTTGCTTCCGATAGCAGACCGAGATTTCGTGTTGTCCCAATAAAATTGGTGTATTATATCAAGTACACGAGGGAACCGACACAGACTCTTAAGCAACCTTGGATCGTTGTCAAACTGCTGGATGAGAAACATGTACAGTTCACGTTGCACCCTGTAAACTGTGTAGACCCAGACAAGAGGATTAAGAAAGATATTGGATATAGCTTCCTTTACGAGCAGCTCTGACAAGCCTGAACAGAAATCAAAGAAAGTTAATACACACAAGGATGTGTTTAGCTCATTGCTCCCAGAGAGAAGGGAGAAAAAGATAAGAAAGATCATCGAGAACTGTTCCCCTTCACATACCACAATTTGCAACAACATTAAATAAGTGTTTCAAAGCTGAAAGAGTTTCCAAATTAAGCTGCTGGGGTGGAACTGATTGCAACAGAAATCCCAGTATGGAAAATCCAGAAAGAAGAAGCATCTGTTGTTGATTAGCTAAATTCTCATCTAGGACAGAAGCTATGAGCTCAATAATGTCAGCAGTCAGCCGCTCTTTTGTAATAGGTTTAAGCAAAGCATGCTCAACTTGTCCACTTTCTTCATTTTCAAACAAATTAGACTGCGTAAAAAGAGGAAAAAACACAGATACACCCCCAACACAATAAATAATCTGTTGCAGCAAGCGTCGTGAACATAACTGTGTCCCAACCATTACAGTTGCTTCAAATGGAGTTTTATCCAATCCATGATCCAGCAGTGGTGAAACATTAAACAACGTCCTACCATTACTTGCCTGAAAAAAAAAAACCAAGATTTTAAGGTTCTCACCGTCATACAAGACAGCAAACTTAAACAAAACAATAATTTTTACAAAGAGAAAAGATAACCTGTGCATTAAGCCCAAAAATTATTTTGGACGCAAGCCCGTCTTTGGCATCAAAAACTCCACCAGGCAATGGACTGTCTGAATAAACTGCAATTTCACCATCAAGGAACGAATACATATAACTTGGCCCTAAAGAATAGATACCCTGCACTTGCTCAGAAGTAATGGCATCACTGAACATATAAACTGGACCAATCTGACCAAAAAGGGGAGATATATCTTTCCCGGAGTATATAGCATTCTCTTCTTCATATGAAGGCAAATTAATTTTTGAGCCAATTGCGCAACTAGTCAAAGATTCATTAACTTTTGCATATCTGAAACATGTAATTATGAAAGTCAGGGTGAATCTGCCATATCCAATGAGAAAAGAGAAACATCATAAGTTAAATTTGAACGGAAACTCCAAATACTATTAATGACATAGCACCTGCATTTTTCTGATGATACAAGAACTCCATCCACATAACATCTCAATTGACTTCCCCCAGAAAATGCTCTACCAATGCTATGAGTTAAACATAGGAAATGCCATTTCTTTCTAACAAAATTGACATGCAGTGAAACACATTGTTGCTTCTGATTAATAGACTGCAAAAGATAAGGAAAAATATTGAATTGCATGAATTATTCTAACAGACAGAAATCTTGTGCAAGAAAATGATGTACTGTCCATGCCACTTGCAGAACACAAAATATCCAATCAGAAAAACTTCTACAGACAGAAACATGACTTCTACCTCATAAATTAGCCGGTCCTTTGCAAGGACGGCCAAGCATCCTCTTCCATTTTCTGTAAGAAAATTGAAAAGCCCCATAGTTCCACTTTTAGGAAAGTTTTCTATCCTGAGCCAGCAGGAAAAAGAAAACCCCTTATTCAGAGGCCACTGCATTGGCGTTCTGATTGTAACCCCCTGCAAGGATAGAAAAGAAAAAAGAATAGAAAAATAGGTTTAAGTTACAATAGCAAGACTTTAAATAAAATGTCACAAGTAACAAAAAAAATACAATGGTCAACATGTGAAAATATGTACACAAAGGTTGCAAGAGGAAAAGATTAATACAAAAGGGTATCTGCTGGAATTTCCAGTAGAATCTTCATTATCATCTCAGTCTTCTTTTCAAAAACTTCCCCCAAATGCAGCAATTTTGGATTTCAGCACTCATAAAATACTTTAAATTTGAACATTTTTTACCCTAAAACTACAGAAGGAAGCATGATGAAAGAACACGAGTAATATAGACATGTCAACGTGTGCTCTGTGCGTACATAAATAAAACAAAAGGCATAGTAATTTGGTATTACTTAAGTTCATTAAGAATCATGCATTGAGTATCAGAACTTTATGTCAAACAGGGAAAACAGAAGCTAATATCAAACAAGATAAGTATTATTTCAACCCCCAACCCCTCCCCCCCCCCAAAAAAAAAATAATAATAATAATAATTAAGAGCTTATTTATGCAGTCTTATGCGAATTTTATACAAAACATTGTTTATATTAGTTGCAGAATAATCTGGCGTTTCACTTAATTCCCATTTTCATGCACTTGGTTGTGTCGCAACAAGACCCCACTCAAAACAAGTTTGCTGCTCGTCCACCACGCAGAACTTAATTTTCAAAACTTGAACATGTGGGGGCCATGGTTTCTGCCCAACATCACCAAGGGAAGGAACTGTGCTGGGTAAGATAAAGGCACCAAATCCATATCAAAGCTCTAACAAAAAGAGAAGAGGCAGCCTAGTTCTAAAAAGGATAGAATCAATAGGAGTGAAGGACATGCTTCGACAATCTCAGACCTGAGTCTGGAACCCAGAAATCCCACCTAACACACAGATCTAGCCCATCTCAAAGCTAATATGTTTAGAAAACCGCACTTCGCCTCTGAGATATTTCCACAGTAGATCCCAAACAGATCTAGCCCTATTCAATGACCCCAAAGGGAGGCCCAAACAAGTACAAAAGCTACCTCTTCGCAACCCAGAATTGCAATCAAATTATAATCACCTGGACCTCTCCGACTGCCTCAATATAAAGCAACACACACCTCAAGTAGCACAATTCCTCATCCACCCTACAAAAAATGGCAAGTTTTATCAATAAGTAGCAAATATACATTCAGTCAGGCACTCCCCATCCCTACTGATCTCAAAACCACTAACCAGGCACATAACGGCTTTGATAGCATATTGCTCAAGCTTCTTGAGCCCCCAAAGAATCGTTCTGGTGTCCCACTAATCAAAACAGAACACCCAATTGTGAATTTTCAACACCGCCTAGGACCAAAGCCCACACTCTCCATTTTGTGAAGGAGAAATCACAATTGACTATGATAATCGACCTTCTTCATATCAAGCTTGTTTACTAAACCTGGCCCGAAAACTCAAACAAAAATCAAGCATGGCAATCATCTCGACCCCCCCCCCCCCCCCCCAAAAAAAAATTGCAATTTGAGATTCCAACAACAATTGTATTTTGTACGCACTCCCACCAAGGTAATATNCCCCCCCCCCCGGCCCCCCAAAAAAAAATTGCAATTTGAGATTCCAACAACAATTGTATTTTGTACGCACTCCCACCAAGGTAATATGTCTACAATCCTTCAAATCTGACAAACCCTCTTTTGGAACCAAAGCAATAAAGAAAATATTCAAGCTCCTCTTTTAAGTCACTGAATCATGGAAATGGTGAGACTGACAAGCCTTAGTGTTTTATCCCCATTGCAAGTTTTAAATTTCTCGTTCATGGGTGATATCTGAAACCACTCATTCGCATATAGGACACTAAATGTCACTTCATCAAGTGTCCACTGTGAGGGAACGCGTCCTACATCAAAATATTAAGATCAACCAAATTAGGTGAGACACCCTATCCATTGCCAATTGGTTTGAATTGAATGCCTTTACTATGATATCAAAGTTGAAGACAGGTTGTTAGTGGGTAAAATTTCTCCTCCATTTGAATTTTGTAATATCCATCTTTATTCGTTTGTTAGAGTATGTATGAACCCGAGTCCAATGTGAAAAGGGGTGCAAAGAGAGATTGTATCCTACAACGAAAGGTTAGGATCACCCAAGATCGACTTCTATGACCCTCTCTCCACCCAAGGTCGACTTTTATGACCCTCATTGTTAATTAGTTTTGTGTTAGATGCCTCTAACATCCATATATGCTCCGATAGAAATCCAAAATAATTACCTTGATATCCTCCTCTGCCATGACATCTCCACTCCCCTCACTCTTTATCTATCCTATGATATTTGTACGTCTGTGGTGCAATCACCTCTCCTTGGAACTATCCCCTTCTTTAAGCCATAAAACCCTGACTTCTGCCCTTAACAAGTCCATCCATCAAAACAACAAACTCATACCACCTTTCGGAGATCTTCCCAATCACTCCTCTCTTCTCTTGTAAGCTCCTAATACTCCACATCCAATTTTGAATTTCACCGAAACCGTTTCTCCATACTAGGTTGCCAATAGACCCCTACATCATTTTTTCATTCCTTGTTCAAACAATTTAAGCTTTCAGGTTAATGCAAACCTAATCCACCATATAAACATCCCACGAAGCAAGCACCTTCACCGTAAACCCTTCTGCCAGAAGCCACATGTTCTCCAATATGAAAAAGGCTTTTCCTTCAAACAAGCCACCACAATCCAGAACAATTGACATGGACATTGGACTCTTTAAAGAGTATAGTGCAGTAAATCTGGAAAGCATTCCCGATTCACTGAGATCAAGAATCTGTCCAGTCTATAAAGGGTTTTAGTATCATGATTGCTAGTCCAGGTAACTTGCAAACCACCAACAGCAAGTTCATCAAACTATACTATTGATAAAATCAGAAGTCCTTACCCCAAACAAGTAACAATGAAAATTTGATTTGCGATATAAAGTTTTCTTTTAAAGAAGATGCTAACAGCATTGTTGACCCTTCAAAATATTAGAGAAGATACTCTACATTAAACAGTGTGGTATGGTTAGTCATCTCATGACACAGAATAATTTCCTTTTCGCCCGTTATCCTAATAAATTAACTCTCCTGTGAATTAGCCAAGAAAAGGCAGCTGGTGTATAAGGCTCCTGCCACTGCGGAGCCTGAGAGAGGGTTAGATATGCGGAGAGGCTGTTCCTGCAACTCGGACCCTCGCACTGTTGATGTCAGGTCACAATGAAGAAACCTTGCCCTATGTGTTAGGTATTTGTCATTTTTTTTGCAATTTCTTTTGGGATCACCATTTAACCAAATTTTTAGTAAAACATGAATAACTCTATGGCATTCAATTCTCTGGAGCCGGGGTGGAGCCAAAATACTTTTTTAGAAGGGGGGGGGGATTGCAAAACAAAAATAAAATACACTCCAACTGATATACAAATTTTGTAAAATATAGATTTATGATTGAATTACTATATGAATATCAATAATATATGAAAGCAAAACATAATATTTTTTCAAACCTCAAAAAATCATCTAGAATTGATTCACACTAAGTTTCTCAGTAATGTTCTTTCAATGTCTACTCAGAGAGTTAGTGACAAGTCATCATTTATTTTTGTTGCAAAGCCTAGTTGAAATCATCATCCATCTTGTTGATATATAAATTCTTTGAAAAAAAACAGAAACCGCTCCATTGGTTAGAAAACTTCACAATACCCATCTCTTCGTGTTGAACTGAATTACAGATAATTTAACTAACCAAAAAAAAAAAGACATGGTTTTCAGTTATTTTAACAAAATTGGGACATTGTATTAAACAAAAGAAATGTATTTTCTTCTGTAATTATATACAAGGGTTGAGATATTTCACATTTATTTAACAAAATCTATAAATAAAATATTTGTTTGCATTGCGGGGGGGGTCCATAGTGGACCACTAACTTGCCGGAAAACAAAAGAACCATTATATAAACTTCTTAAAAATCAAGGGGGCAATACACTACTTTAAGGAAAGCCATGTCCTGTTAAGAGAATTATATATGTGGGCTGTTGATAGGTCAGTTGAGGCAACTGCCCCTGCTCCCCTCGCCACCCCCACCCAAAAAAAAAAAAAAAGAAACACCTCAAGGCTTAAAGTAGCACCAAAATCACCTAAGGTTTGGAAAAACAGGTATCATTAGCTTTTCAAGTTCTAATAACAGCATCAAGCATATGATCATAACTCAACATGCTCCAAATAATTGGAAACAAGTTTTCATAGTTGGGCAGAGATAAACTAATAAATGCAAACATTAGCTGTAGGTTACTCTTCTACTAACTTGTCTTCAAGGCAGCAATTTAACTTACAGAATCACTCCCGTTTAGATCAAAGAAAGCCGTTGGTCCTTTCTCATTTAGCATTGACAAAATGCTGGCTAATAATAATGAGCTAGATTGATGCCGATTTCCAACTTTCTCACTTCGAAGTAAAGCAAAGATTTTGCGAATATCCTTTCCAGAAATGCTATGTCCACCCGTGACCTGGATTAACTGGCCAATTTTCAAGAATACACTATCATTATCTTCTTGAGAAAACCAATCAAGCAGAAAGTTAAGCATTCCTGCTCTGACACATGAAGCTCGATTGGATATGGAATCTCTTTGCAGCTGAAGAAATACGCCGAGTCCATAATGCTGCAATGAATCACTGCTCTGCCCAGTTATCAAATGGAAAAATACTGAGTCTGCGAAATACTGTAAGCCATTATACAAATAGGAAAATGAAAGTAGGACCGTCCAACTGATAAAGAAGGGATGGCTCCAGAGTCCATAATATAGGTAAACTAGGAAACAAAAGGAAGAGAAGAACACTGAAAAAGAGAAATCAATTACCAACCTTCTGCAAAACTCTCAGATAAAGTAAGATTACATCTTCATTCTGGATCAAAACAGACAAGTTCAAAGCAACTATATGAGAAGCATGAACACGGGCAAATAATTGTACCGCCGTTGCATGCTCGTAAACTAGGGGTCCTGCCAGCAAAAAACCTAAATAGTGGATATCAAAGTTTCTGAATGAGAATTTAGTCAAGTCACCTTTATCACAGGGCCTGATTTAAGATCAAACTTTCCATCAACAAGCATATCAAGCAGAGCATTTAGAAGTTCCTCAGTTGGCCACTGTTGACAAAAGTCCAACAGCAAACTTTGCAGTGTCTGATAACCTTTGCCAACAAGAGCTCTGAATGCAGCCTAAAAAGATGGTCCATGATGATACTGATCAGAATAAATCATCGATATCCCACATGAATGGGCAAAGGCAATAACACATTGACATACATATTCAACACACCTATTTACACAGCTAGACTCATGCTAATATAGTCAGTTCATTGATAATCAAACAACACATCAAGGACATGATCAGCCAAAAAATATAAGCAACCCATTGCGTCAGTTGATACATTATAGAAGATAATAATCATTACCATCATATCATTGTCGTCAGAAATCCAGATCATCAAGACGTAAGTGTGCCAACAAACAAAAAAATGGGAATGTATGCCGACAAGTCATCCCATTATCAAAAGACACCAATGTGATGTAATCCTAAAAGTTTGCCTTCGACTTTTTTTCTTTTTTGATAAGTATGTTTGCCTTCGACTTTTTTTTCATTTTCGATCAGTACGTTTGCCTTCGACAAATATGAACCAAGTCTTGGCAAAGATTCATATGAACTTACAACACACTCAAATGCAAACAAACTTTCACAAACACAGACAAATATGTATACATTTCCATATATATAATGATGCATATACACACAATATACACAGAGAGAAGAACCCAACGTATGTGCGTGTTACGTCCAATATGCGTAGGTATATCTGCACACACATCTAGAGAGAGAGAGAGAGAGAGAGAAACCCACTGGACAAAAGAGCTTTTGGCTTTCCCACAGTGAACAAAGGAGATTTTGCCAAAACATAAACCAAATACAAAACCCAAAAAATCGCCATAGTAAAGCCCAATGGCCAAAGATTAAATGGTCAACAGTTGACATGAGTTGGCTTACACTTAACAGCTCAACTAAAATGGAAATGGTACAGAAATCCTTCTCTGTCATTCGGCTCTTTATCACCCTTGTCTCAATCTCAAATCAAATTTAACCATTCACTAGCTCAGAAAAATCAGCAATTGGAATGAAAGCAGAACTTATTGCTTTAACCATCATTGACAATCTATACGAACAAAAACAGTGCCTGACTTTAGCACTCTGTCATAGCTGCTACCTCTAGCTTCTCACAGATGCACTATATAAAACAACTGACCCTGTGCTGCCTGACAATCAAACAAACTAGGGTAACTTGCAACTCTTTTTAGAAGATGTACAAATTACATAGCAGTAACATCTCAGGTAAAATGGAAGATGTAAGTCACAATTATACACTAGATATGCTATCAAATGTTTGTTAAATTAAAATCCCATCATGTGTGTCCTTATGAGGCATACACAAATAGGGCTGCATTGAATCTGCATAAACAAGGAAAAAATACAATATATCACAAACTGGAACAAAGGCGATCTAAAATGACCCAATTAATAGAAAAGAAGGCATTGTGGGAGCCCTTTAATGGTTTCACATGATCCTAGATGGTAAGAAGGACAAACAAAACTACCACGAGCAGCAACTTGTTTGAACTAACCAGATCAAAAGATAAGTAAAACACTTCATAGCTCCGAGAGAGAGTACCTTAGAAGCATCATTCCCAGCAAGAAGAAAGGTTAACGTTTGAAGTACATTCAGAACCAACTTCTCACTATTTGCATCATCAGGATTGCCATTCAATAGAGATACGATATGCAAAAAGCATTCACCATCACGAAACAAAGCCTGATAGTACTGAGAACATAGAAACAACCATACAAGCCAATTTGTCAACGAAAAGTTGAGGGTGGTCTTTTTTAACTTAAAATGTATAGACATCAAAATGTGAGGATAACTTAATAGAAGTATAAAATTCAGAAGAATATACCAATTGATCTGTTAGGAGCATATCCCTCATCCCCACCAATAAATCAACTGACAATTCTGCAAACTTTTTCTCCCGTTCTTTTACATGAGTAAAAGTTTCTAAATAGTTTGAACATATATACAACTTTGCTTTTTGGTCTTCCTCAGAAAAAGGAATGATCTGCATGAGAGAGAACAAGTTTAACTTCAAATGCCTCAGTATAACAATAAACAACAAATCTAACAAACATCAAACAGAGAGGAGAACAACGGAATACCTTCATTAAGTTAAGAATATAAGCAAGCACACGATTTCTCAAACCTTCTTCCCAAAATAAATCAAATAAACTATCAATACAAGTGGAACTATGCAAAACCAAATATTTTGCATCATCTGTCACTGAGAAGAATTCAGCAAAGAGCTCCACGGATGTTTCCATGCTTTTGTAGCAACTTTGAGCTGTATCAGGTGAGTTAGATTTCTCATAGTTTTGAGGAGGAACCGCTGGCAAATTATTACTCTCAACATAAGAACTTATATTTCCACGCCTTCTAGATTCTTGGGCCTGAATACATGCAACTTTGAGCACACGAGGAACTGCATCAAGTGTTTTGAATGAAGAAACAGTCTTCTCAGCTGAAAGCTGTAGTATACAGAGCAGGCTTTTTGCAAGAAGACTAACAATCTCAGGATTGCAAGCACATTGTTCAAGAGCATCTAACAGAACAGAGCACTCAGGCTGCCATAACATGGAAAATGAAATAAAGTAAGTGAAAATTTTATCCAAAAGTTAGCACAAAGAAAACTTGGAATCACCAAGGACAAGGAGCAACCTACTGGAAGTTTATTAAGAAAAGAAAACCATGAAAAGCGAATTGAAGTTTCAACTAGATGTTTGATAATCCAATGCCTCAACAGATGCATGCATGTCGCATAAACACATGCATTCACGCAGCCAGTTACTCAAATAAGAAAAAGTATATTCACATACAAATATATCATACTCTATTGCTCACCATGAGCCAGTAAGTGTGCATCGTAGACATCAACACAATCTAACAAAAAATAAATAAATACAAAAACAAAAGTCTCAAATGCAGCCTGGTTTTCAAATCTAAACCTAACGACAAATATTCAACTCAGGGAAAGAGTGCATGCATCAAAAAGGCACAAAAAATCTGCGAAATGGTTGACCATGTGAAAAAAAATGCACCAGGGATTATTCTTTTCATACAAAAATATGTATGAAAGGAGGAAGAAAAAGATCAATTTTGGTAGTCAAGAAAGACCAAAAAAAGAAGTGCCAATGTGAAAAGTGTTGCATAGTAAGAAATATTGGAAGTATGCCAAACCGAAAGTGTTTTATTTATTGTTCTTGAATTCATGACATCCACTAAACAGAAACAATCACAGAATCAACTAAAACAATATCCACAAAACTATCAGTCAGGTTCTGAATACTAGACAGGGAACTTGCTATGCCCCTTTTCTATGCCACATGCTTTAACAAAACCAACATAAAAAGGCCAGTTCTATCTTACCTTTTTGCTTGCCAGGAGGCAGTGTTATCAAACTCGAGCCGGCCCCGAGGGTCAACCCACTAACCCGGCCAACCGGTGCTTAAGCCACACTCGGATCGAGCCAAAACCCAGCCAAACCCACCCGCATAAACCGGACAAGTTGTACTTAGTCCAGAAGAGCCTACATCCTTGTATTATATCAATTATTTTTTGGTCAGAAAATCAACTACTAAAACTCAAATGTGTCAAATATTGCCTAGGTTCAGCTTCCCTCATGAGTTGGCCAGACCACAGCTTTCTTCAGAGCTTGGAGAATTGTACCAAGTATACATCTTATGGGCTCTCGTTCCTTCCTTTTGCTTAAAGGTTTCCGATGTGGGATCTGTAATGCATCAGCACCTCTCATAAGGGCATATTGCCTCTTTCTTTTCTGGCTTTCCCACGTGGGATACCTTTGTTTTTATTTTAATTTTTTGTCCTTTTATTTGGTCATAAAATTATCAGTACTGTTTGTGCCAGTAATTATTTTTTCATTAAGTGTTCATAAAATGCACGCTTAATTATTTTTCATTTTTAATTGTGTAACCAGTCTGACCAGTTGAGCCAAAGGTAGTGCCTCATTGACCCTGCTGCTCTGCCGGGTTGATCGGATGGCAGGGTTTAATAACTATGCCAGGAGGTCTTAACCTGATATTGGACAATGAGAAATAGCTCTTTGTTTCCTTAAGTGTGCATTTTTGTTTTCTATGGACATAATGAATCCATAGCAGAAACTAATACTCCAGCCTTGTCCCAGAAAGGTTAGAACAAAGCATATTGAAGAACAATTGCACAAACAAAGATCTTAGACAAAGAGCACCACATCAAAAGAAATGACTTACCACATTATGTGAACTACCATTTAAAGTTGCTGCAAATTCCACAAATGAAACTACTTCAATTTGTAGACTGTCTGTTTCCTTGGCAATTAGTTGACTGTCAGCACCATTAGAATCAGAACAGTTTCCTACATTCAATCCTGGAACTTCACTATATGTGCAATACTCTCCAAAATATTCTGCTGATGCCGACCCAAAATAGAAAAAATTCTCAGAGAAGACGAAGTCCCATACTCCCTCAGCCCGAAATACACCAAGTAATGAGGGAAATAAAACAAGAACCTTCCTGAATGTGAAGAGAACATAATGCTGCAATGTGTAGATAAATATCCTGCAGAAATGGACCAAACAAGTAAGGAGAAAAGAAAATTAAAAGAAAAAGAAAAGGACAAGGCCTCGAGAAACAGACGTAACAGACTAGGACAGAATAATCTGCTTTCAGAATACCATCATCAATCTTCCACACAAAGGACGAAAGATGTGACTACTGGCTGTATCATTCACCTTACGTGACTAGGCAGGTCATCTTGATTCGAACAAGCCTTAATGCAGGGAAAAACAGTATGAAGCACCCTCATGACCCACTTTATTGAAAGTTCCCCATAAACTGAAGAAACTGGCAAGGCACTTCTACCAGCAGATGGTCGGACATGAGTCTCAATATCTTCTGATGGAAGAAGAAAAGAGGAAAGAACTCTGCTCAAGTTGACAACATGGTTTTTCCAATATTTAGAATATGAAAATGGACCAGAAGTCTCGGTATCATGAATGTCTATACTGGTAATATCTCGAGTGTCTGAAAGAAACATTTTAGAATCATCCTGCATGGACAAGTTAGTGCCCTTCTGCTTGTATTCTTGAAGAATGAATGCAGGTGAACAAAAGCTATTTGCGAATTTATGTACTCTTCCATTCTCACATAGAAACTGTAAATTGTTCAAATTCCCGAAGCTGGAAACTAGTTAAGGGCATCAGTAATGGTTATCAGTTAGAACATAAATAACTACAAAAACAACAATAATAGGTTTAGGGCACTAACTCATGCAACCTCCCCCCCCCTTTCTTTTCTTTTGCATGATGCATCCCCCACAGTCAAAAAAAGGGGAGTTAGAAGCCAACTTTGCCTTTCAGAGGGTATTAACAAACTAAAATTCAAATGGTGACAGCAACATCCAGTACGCAACAGAAATCCTCCTCCTTCCGAAAGAAGCAACACAAATTTTCTTAATTAAGATAAAAGGGCATCCAATTCAGTTGTCCATGTTCATGTATGAATAAAAACGAGCACACATGCTTTAAGAAGACAAGTAGTTGCAAAGGTTTATTGGCATTCTATAAACCAAATTTAAATAAGTGGAGAGAAGGATACACAGCCTCCCTGAGAACCTCCAAAGAAAGAACATGGAGCTGGAAAATGCCCAACAAAGGATCTTCATCTCTACAATAATAACACCGGACAAATATAGTTGAGGCAAAAGAGGAAGTATATTAACATGGTGTCAAGATACCAAAATAATTACAATAGCTGAACAGACATGAAAATATTTCTATTTTTGAAGAGTAATAACACAAGCACACAACACAAACATGGACACACAATTTTCTACCTAAGCCGCTAAGCGTACAGAAAACCACATGACATACAGCCAGACTAGTTCAAATTTTAAGCATTCAACCATGCACACAGTTACACACACTAGGAAGAAAAGAAAGAATGAAGCAACGTAAACAGAAATTCCCCGAGTTGAGCAAGAGCAAAAATTAAAAATAAGAAAAGAACAAGGTAATTAGAGACTTGGGTACACAGTTTCTTGTAAAACTATGCCTTTTTAAAATATTACAGCACATCAGTGACAGGCAGGCTAACAGTTTCTGCCAACCTAATCCCTCTTTCCCTCTGAGTATATGTGAATACTGTACATGGAAAGGCAGTAAACACCTAACTGCATCTGTGGTCGCAATATCTTAAGTTTAGGCTTTCAAGCCGAAGTTTAACTCCAAAGGGTCAACAACAGGGCCGAGAACCCACATCAAAAGCTGGAAGTCCCAAGTTCCAGCATTCCCCTTGAGGCTACCCACATAGAATTCGATTTGAAATGATGCGAAGTTCTTGTGGAGTGGGTCCCGTACCTGGGGGCTAGTCAAATGCTCTAAGAGTTCCGGACACCCTCGTTTTAATAGCAACTAATTGGTTTGAGGTTGCATGTGAGTGGTGAGGTGTGAAGGAATCTTTTGTTGATAGCGTTTATGTCTTCGATGGCTTCGTATACCAGTTGGGCCTCTCTACCAAACAGCTTAACCTTTCGGGTTCCTATTCTCTTAATAGGAACAGAATTTATTGCCCAGTTAAAAACAAGACATACACTAAACTACTTACAATGACAAATTTATGACATTCTACTTGGTCTTGCCCAAAGCATTGGCCTTCTAGTTTTAAGTACTTACAAAGTTGATCTGAGTCCCATTTAGTTGATACAAGTTCATAATAACATATCTCCATTTATTAATCAAAAACCAACAGGAACAGCATGCCTGCAGGAAAACCCTCACTAGTTTCCCTTTAGACAAACTATGAGATAGAAATCTTTATGACCATCTATCAATGAGGATGTAACCATTGTATTCACTCGTCTAAATCAACAAGAGTTCTGACCTCTGCTGGATAAAAGAGAAATGTTAAAGTGGAACAAATTACAGAGCCAACAACCATTCAGTGAATTGTCTTGTGTTACTGCCTTTCAAGACGTTCACAGAATCCTTCATGATGTTTTGGTGCAGGTACTATTACATCGAAGCCCTAGAGAGCCGTTGGACCCCAACACCGTTACAAAGGGCCATCCGCNCGACCTCTGCTGGATAAAAGAGAAATGTTAAAGTGGAACAAATTACAGAGCCAACAACCATTCAGTGAATTGTCTTGTGTTACTACCTTTCAAGACGTTCACAGAATCCTTCATGATGTTTTGGTGCAGGTACTAGTACATCGAAGCCCTAGAGAGCCGTTGGACCCCAACACCGTTACAAAGGGCCATCCGCCCAGGTCGAGCGACCCGAAAGGACCAGACATAAACCACCTACTAAAGCAATTAGTAAATAAGACAAGCAATCAAGCTGGCAAGTAAGGGATAGAGGATGGATTTGTCCGGGGTGTGTGAACTTCCTTATATATTCAGCCACATGTTGCAAGTGGGCATGAAAGGAATTTTTGGCCTTGGTCATTCTTCTATGAAATATTGATTCTATCAATCATTCCATTTCAGAATCAAATCTCCCCTGAATATAAGTAGGGCCCCATGATTCCCCAAACCAACTCCTGGCCCTACCCAGCAGTACCGATCGGTGTGTGATTACCTTTGGTAAAACAACCCTAAACATTTAAAGTTTTCCTTATTATTCCCACTTATTCTCCTTTTTCGCACACAATTATGACAGTTATAAACCAAAATAGCCAAAAAAAAAAAACACGCAACTAAGTATAACTACCCACCAACATTTTCTACACAATTCTGCTCGAATAAGCTGTATAAACTACACTAGTCTAACCACACCACATTTGAGGGAACACACTGGACCATATAACTGATCCCATTTCATGAACCAGTGGACTACAAATCCAATCATATCACATTTGAGGGAACAGAATACACTCTACCGACCATATCCCATTCCATGAACCCAGTCTCATGGATTCACACGACCAAGGCTGTCAAGTGATTTTACAGTTAGCAAAAAAGGAAAAACAGCCTTGAAATATGGATAACCATATTAGAGTTCTGAGAAACTTTGACATGACCAAGCAATTATAGTCAGCGATTTCAATAAGTGCACTTCTTTGATCAATTTCTTGCCCCCCCTATGAATCCGGGGAAAAAAAAGTACTCACAGAAAGAGAAGAAAATAATAATCTCTAAACATGAGCACATTTTTAAACATTTTCTTTCCTCCTCTAAATCTCACTGAATCCAACTAAGTTCTTTTTAAGAATTACATTATCCCCGACTCAAGGAAATACAGCATCTACATTTCATCCAATAAATGCGCTTACTGGTTAAGTTGGTTACTGTTTATACATCACTGATATACACTACAATCAATCTAATATCATCAAAAATAAGAAAGATATAGGTAATAGACAGAGGCAGAAGCAGAAGCCACTTCAAACAGATTACCTTTCTTTATCAGAGCAGGAAAAATTCTTTGGTCCTAAAGCTTTATTTGGTGAAACTCCAAGTCCATCCAGCAGGACTTCAAGTCCCCCAATACTTCGAAAATGATTTTGACCACGCGGATTATCAGCTAATGCTGATAGGAGAGTTCTCAAGCTCAAATACGGCAGTAATATATCAGTCCATTGTTCTTTCATATTCAGCCTTCTCATCACGCGCAGCAGTTCTGGAAATCAACAAATTTCAGCAAACATTGACAGTTTTATTGCAAAATAGGTTGAATAGAACAAGAATATGTGCTACAAGAGTATAGATTGAGTTTGGATTTGAGAACCAAGAATGAACTTCTTGCAATTCTGACAGGGATGCGACTGTACAGCTATAAGGTTTAGCCATTCTAATACCATAGTTAATCCAGTCACTAAACACAGGCCATGGAGCCAATGAGAAAAGAACATAACAAAACCCACAACATTTTAACCATGGATCTTCTGCCCTGAACATTAAATCAAACAAACACACAGGCCATGAAAATCACACCTAAAGGGTAAACCTAAAACCTTATCCGCCACAATCCAGCTAATGTAAATGTCAAAAATTCAGATGAAATAGTTTGAACTTTTCTACATGTACTAACAAGTCAAAACATTCATGAACCCCGAAAATGCCTACCTTACCTACTAACCAATTAAGGCCACCAGCTTCCATCACCAGCACAACCGCTTTCTGATGCCAACATAATCTTGTTTCAGAATGAGGAGCCTTTGTACCACTAGAAGGTTCACGTGAAGTCACACTACCCATTGGAACGGAAAATTCCAAGCTGTTGCCATACAACTGTGACTTTTCATATACATCTGACCGTAAATTAATGAAGCTACTTATTGTTAACACCACATGTACAAGCATACGTTGCAAAATTCCACTCTTCTCCGCAACAGAGTTTGACAAACTTTCGTCAGCAGAAAGTGCACAGGTGATAGTTTTGAGTTGGACTACAGCCGCTGAAATAAGTAAATTCACAATGTTAAATGCCGACATCAAAACAGTTCGAGGATATCACACTCACCACCAAGAAACAATGACAGCAATATAATAATGAGATCATCATATCAGAACTAACTTCAAAGAACAAAAATGAATAAAACATAAAGCAATATGATAGCAGGAGAACAATGTGTATCAGAAGGTATGGCTTTTAGAACTGAGAAAAGTGCACAGGTTAAACATACAGGATGAAAAAATATAGTCTAAATAAAAACATATTGCAACCAAGACCAAGGTTGTGAATATCCGTAGTAAGGAAAAGACTATAAGTTACAGCATCCATAACATATCAATGAGAATAGAATATCATGTCTGACATTATACAAGGTTCCATCTTAGATTCCCTGAACAAACCCGATCATAAACAACAATGGAACTAAAGAACCAGTAGGTGACAAAACAACAAAATAACTCGGCCACATAAAGACTATAATTGTACTTGGCTCTAGTAGATAGTGATACCTTTCAGTAATGCAGCAAGCTTTTGAATCCCACCATAGTGACCAAGAACTCTGCAATTATGTATAGACCGAGTTACAATGCTCAAAGCATCCAAGACAGGCAACCCTTCAGATGTGATAGCCAAGCCCATGGAAGTCCCTAATTGGTCTGCGGTTGGTTGCAGAGAGCTGACCTTTACTGGATAAATTAAAACCAAAAAGTCAATATTAAACAACAAATTGCAGTATCTAGTAAATTTGCAACAACAATGAAATTAACCAGCAGGGAAAGTGTGAAAGCATTCTGAAAAAGGAACCGAACATTCAACCAACATAAAGGAGCTGTCGGAAATAAATGAGGCAGGAGTTTCAAGTTTCCACTGTTACAAACACCCAAATTGAGATCACTTAAAGATAATAATGTTAGCAATAGAATCACTTAAAACTTAACAAACTAGCCCACCACAACATGCATCCCTCATCTCTTAAACTCTTACCAACTTTGCCAAAATTGAATTGAAATAATGTGGAAGATGTTAATAAATTAAGAGATCAAGTGGTATCAATATTTTTTTCTTAATAGGAGATCAAGTGGTATTAATATATGCCCAATATTTCAGCCAATTCCGTTCAATAGTATATCTAAAAGGAAAAAAATATCAATATCATCCTATAATTCAAAGCAATTTAAATTAGTAATGGCACTGCGCGGAAAAGGAAGTTATTGCAAGCATCCAAGGAAGTAAATAAGATACTCGCTTTTCCAGTAGAAACCTCATAACACCAAGAGAAGAGTGTTTGTTGACAACAGTCAGGGAGGTAACATGCTCTTCAACAAGATGACTAGTGTTAGGAAATATGTCCGCCTTATCTAGGGCTCCCTATACCCTCATCGTAGGGGTTGGTATCAGTTCCAGTAAACTCAATGCTGATATGAACAGACATGTAAAGATTGCTCACACAAAATTAAGACAAGAGACAGTACAGTAACCAGGGAATGATTTATCGAAAGAACTGGTCACTTTTTTCACATCTTTGCCTAGCCACGGCAATAACAGTCTATCATTTATGTCAAAAGCTGCACTTTTCCATTGAACAAGTAACTAGAGGCTTAATTTTTAAACCAATGGGGGAACAAAAACTGTAAGGGTTATACCATCAAATAAACTTGAAAGGTGGTTGCGATCTGGTATCATGTAAACGTTTAGGGATTGAACCCCAAAAAAGAACTTCTTTCAAAATTTGATTTCTCCCCCTAGCAGGAAAATTAAGTACAATTTAGGATCTCCCAGGGCAACGTCTCTGATTTGTATCAAGTTGTACAGAACAAACACATCTTTTTGGTTTGAGGTGATTCTTCTTGCACATCCATTTTTCAGGTAGTGGGTTTGGGTTTGGGTCCTTATGCTCTGCTTGGATTCCAACAAATCTAGTACTCGCTCCTTCATTCTCTCATTCCTTCAAAAAAATTACTTAGGGAACCTAAACTGATTGGTTATGTGCTAAACAGACTTCATCATGAAAAACGAATCAAACGGAACTTGAAAAGTTGAAGTAGCCAAGGTGAGTCCAATTCCCATTGAATAGTTGGCCAAAAAAAACTGTGGGTGCATAATCAACTTTTAGTGAAACATATGTCTTCACTAGACAAATTCAGCTATTTAGATTGGAAGGAAAAATCCAGCAGAGATATAGTGAGAAGCACCAACACAGGAAACATAAGCGACAAAACATAACCAGAAGCACAAAAATATCCACCAAATAGTTTTTATTGACACCAGATTTAAAAACCAACTTACATTCAGTGACCGAAGCTGTTATGTTTTTAACTTCTTCAGTTAATGCCAGTATAATTTCAGCAGGATGACCAGCATGACATCCAAGCACCACATCATCAAAACGTTGTGAATACTCCGCAGGCGGTGCAGCAGAAGAAACAACCTCTGGAGATTGGCCCAGATCAACCGGCTCCCAATTTTTGTATATAATTAGAAATTGCTTGAGAAAAATATGAAATAGTTTTTTCTTTTCTGCCTGGAAATTGATAAAAGTAGAAGGTATAAGACAGCTTGAAGAAATCTAGGGCACTACAATGTATATCTGAGCATGTAATCCAACATCACATCATCTCACAAAAATATAGGCTAACTGTAAAGGTGGCAAAGAGCTGAGTACCAAAAAATTTTTAAAAGAGACGAAAAGGAGTTTGGTTAGTGTTTAGATAACTGGACCCACAAATAATATCTTAGACAGCACACTTATTGCCATAGCCAGTTTTATCAAGGTTACAATGACAGATGTGACCTATGACTATGATGAAACCAAAATAACTACATCAACACAAATTTGTTGGTATAACATTTGCATGCATTATCATAGTGATTGTGACACAAGGTATGGACAAAAGTATGACGTCTCCAGTCGATTCCAGACTGGCCAAAAAGAAAATGCTAGCTTAAACCAAAAGCTAGCAGATCTCAGTAATGCAAAATAAAATAACTGGGAGGGGAAGACAATAGTTCAGCACACATGTCCAATTTAAAGAAAATATAGATGACGATAAATTTTCTTGGTAAGCAGAGATTACTGTTAGCAGATAAAATCATCACCAGTGCCAAGATACATAAATCTCCCACTGTAACAATCAGTAGAAACATAATTGATGTGAATCCTTCGTCATTAAAAAACAGCGTAAGTCAACTTGGCCAAATCATTTATCCATAAGGGAATAAAAGATCACATACTCAAAAAGGAAAAAGAAAGAAAAAACAAAATACAATACAATCCATCAGAACTTTTATGCATGCAGTCTATATTATTCAATCCACATTCGCTAGTGTCTTGAATCATAGTTTTGGAAAATGTTGTTTTGTATCTCATATGGGACATATTCAAGAGATTTTTATTCCATTTATACAGCCCAAAGTTCTGGACACCTTTTCGTTTGAAGAGAGTCAATTTCTAAGTTGTCTCAGTTTTCACATTTCTCCATGCAACTTAACGATTGTTACATGCCTTTGTTCTGCATATAGAGAAAATTAGGAAAAAGAAGCACAAAATATTGAAAAACTTACTTTACAACAAAAAAAATATTCAATCGCTGAAATATTTCCCAACTAATTAGCAAGGGGAACGTTAAAAGCATCCAACCAAAAAGCTTGTTGTGCAAACATTCACTCACCAATAAAATAACATAATATAAACCAACCAAAAACCATATAATAGATTTCCAAAGATACCTTATCAAGGGCATTCTCATATCTTCCCCAAAGAGTATTTAGAATTGCCTCATCACCAACCTCACTGAAAAGGAAAAAATAATATGAGAAGAAAAGTGTCAAGCAATTACATATCTACGAAAAGGTCTTGTTACAAGCAACAGTCTTTGTGGAGTCATCCTCTCCCAATATTCAGACATTCAAGTGCTCCATTACTCAATCCAGTTACAGAATAAACGCAGCAATCATATGAATGGGCCTTAAGATTTCATGAGTTTCTTGAATAGCACAATAGTAGGAGTAATGACGATAAGAGGCGATTGTAAGTACCTGAAGCGGATTTTGGGAGTCGGAGGAAAAAACCTCTCCGAATGTAACCCTAAACCTGACTCTGCACTCTGGCCAGTGGACGTCCTCCGAATAAGATCAGCTACACCCTTTACAATGTTCATTCTTCTCAACCAAGATTATGAGATCTTTAGGACTTCAGAAGCCAACAAGAAAGACCATTCCAGCACACCATCACTAAAACCATAATGTACATTTAAGAATTAACAGCCGAAAATTTTACTGTAAAATCATAAAATTCAACCTCGTAACTGTACCGACAGCAATTTTGATAGATTGATCGATTGGATACTGTTTACAAAAAATCGGATGAGCCTGTGAATTATGAAATTGATATGGCTAATTGGGGCTCAATGATCAAAAAGTTCTCGTTGTGAATGACTATACATGAGCGGACTTACTTGCATAAAAATCATACTTACCCGATCGTATATGATCTTTCGATCGCACCATGGAATCTCTAGGGTTTATTCACATGATCAGATAAAAACTGCCGACCTCACCATATGACTTTCTATTGTTCAGGCGATTCAGAAATCTGGAACTTTATATTGCCGTTTATGCTCCAATGGCGAGAGAGAGACTCTGTTGCAGTAGATTTTTTTTCTTTAACCTGATCACATAAAATCTTTCTATCGCACCATGGAATCTTTAGGATTTATTTACAAGATTAGATAAAAATCTCCCAATCACACCAGAGAACTTTCTAGGGTTGAGAGATTCAAAAATCTGGAACTTGTGTCTTTGTTTATGCTCCAATGGCGGGCGAGCGAGAGCAGAGATACAAAGAGAGATAATTGGACTTTATTAATGTAAAGCCCCAACGGATCTTTATTAATGGAAGCGTGCGAAGGGGATAATGGGACTATTAGGCGGTGGATCAGGAGTATCGAAGAGCTGTTCCATATAGTATCGCTAACCTATAATAAAATCTTAAAGGTCAAAAGTGAACCCTACCTAGATATATATGACATGTTTATATAACAATTTAGTTATTAATTTTTATAAAATTTATTTATTTATTTATTTTATTATTATTGATCGATGGATTAGGGGGGGCGCACTGCGCACGTGTTCAGATTGTTTCTTAATTTTGACACGCACATGTGGGATGAGAAATAAGAAAACTTNGCAACAGCGATTCCATATAGTATCGCTAACCTATAATAAAATCTTAAAGGTAAAAAGTGAACCCTACCTAGATTTACATGACATAAGAATGAAAAATTATTTGTTTACATAACAGTTTAGTTATTAATTTTTATAAAATTTATTTATGTATTTATTTTATTATTTATTTATTTTATTATTATTGACCGATAATATCAAATCACCTTAGACATCAGCTGTAAAGGATATTTTCTCGTGGATTAGGAGGGGCGCACTGCGCACGTGATCAGATTGTTTCTTAATTTTGACCCGCACATGTGGGATGAGAAATTAGAAAACTTTCGGATCAAACAAAAAAAAGAGTTTTTAGCCAGAAAATTTAAAATTCGATTAGCTGCAGAGAATTTTANAGCTGTTCCATATAGTATCGCTAACCTATAATAAAATCTTAAAGGTCAAAAGTGAACCCTACCTAGATATATATGACATGTTTATATAACAATTTAGTTATTAATTTTTATAAAATTTATTTATTTATTTATTTTATTATTATTGATCGATGGATTAGGGGGGGCGCACTGCGCACGTGTTCAGATTGTTTCTTAATTTTGACACGCACATGTGGGATGAGAAATAAGAAAACTTTCGGATCAAAAAAAAAAAGAGTTTTTAGCCAGAAAATTTAAAATTCGATTAGCTGCAGAGAATTTTATTAATTTATTAAATTTATCTAATTCTTCTTATATTTAAATAGTTTTGAGAGAAATATTGGTGGTCATTAAATGCGTCTATTTGAAATCGTCAAATGACTTTATTAAATCTATTTTATTTTATATTATAGATTTAAAATTTTAAAATATATGCAATAATTATAAATATAGATGACATAATAATTCTTACAATAATTATTCAAGTAATGTAGTGATGATTGTAAGTTTTGTAGACAGGTTTATATTTTTCTGTATATCTATTTTTAAAAGANCTTAATTAAGCTCAACTATAAAAAAGATGAAGCTGTTAAATTGCCAATGTTTTATTTAATTTTTTTATATCAATGTGATAATATTAATCAATCTATGCTCATTGCATTGTAGTTGATAGGTGTTGCATCGCCATTCCTTATTGGTGACATTAATATGTGAAAATCCCCCAAGTTTCTTATATTTTAATTTATCTTTATTCTCACTATTTCTCAAGTTTGAATTTTATACTTAATTCCAATTTTATTCTTTTTTATTTTACAGTTCATCTATATTTACTTTTGAATTTCTATCACAGTTGTTTTTTTACCTTAAGATCATTATTTATGTCTTATATGCTTGTGTTGTTTGTGTGTTTTTCAGTCTTTGTCTCTAATTTTGTTCGATGCTTTACATCTTATTGCTGGTTTAATGTGTTCTGTCTTATACAATTTGCCTTTTAAATCAAGCCTATATGTCATTGTCATAATTCATCTAGTGCTTTAATCTACTAGTCCATCTCACATTACTTGAATAGTCAACCTCGTCTCTAAATTGGGTTTCATTATGGATAATGTTTTTGTCATCTTTTTATTTATGGTCTTTATAATCTTCTAATTTGAATTTTAAAATTTAGCATAAAAATTGTTATACATATTTAGTTGTAGTTTTATTTTGCGACTTCCCCCTCCTCAACCCCCCTTCTCTCGAGTAAATATTAGATTTAACGGTAATACCACATTATTATTGTGACACGATGTTATCATAACGTTTTTCGTTTTTGTTTTTTGTTTTTCGTTTTTATTTTAATATTTAGAGAAAACAAGAAAAAAAAATTCGTTTGGTAACCGATTTTGTTTTTCGTTTTTGTCACCGTTTTGTAAACGAGGACCGATTTTCAAAAATTAAAAAAAGACGTTTTTGATTTTTGTTTTTCGTAAACAAAAACGTTATCAAACGGGCCTTAAAAATGCACTTTTAGAGTTTTTGACTTATCATAAGTCCTTTTTTTTTTTAAGTTGTGTTTTTTATAACTTCTTAAAAACACTATTAAATAAGTAAAAGTAATTTTAACACTTAAATAAATTAATACGTAGGAGTCAAAAATAATATTTTTTTCTTTTGATAAAACACTTTTTTTTTACGGTTACCGCTCTTACCCCCTCGACATTCACAGAAGACACCAATGATCTTTACCAATCACCTCGCCGATCACCGATAAAAGCCACTAACGACACTCGAGAGTGTATTACCATCGACGACACCAAGTAGATCTGTGATATGTTTATGATTTGTGTTGATCTGTGATAACATTTGTACTGTCCAATATCCACCAACTGTTTGATTTATGGCCAAGCAAAATGAACTCGACAAATGCACTAATAAGTGGAAGTAAAATATTAAAAACTCTTAAATTTTCTTTGAATCGGAACTTTGACAAAGGGCTATTATTATTTCATTTCTCAAGTTTTGGTTATTTGGACTATTACTTATGGTTTTAGCACAATTTTTTCATTTTCATGTTGTAATTATTTGTTATGGTAGTGATGATTGTCTTAAATTTTGTGTGTGATGTCTAGATGCTTAAGGGTACAAGACCCTAACCTAGTTCCCACCATCTACTTTTTGAAATTTCAATACTAACTCGTCTTATCTTTTTTATTTTCTAATCCGTATTGATACTTTGACCTTTGACACTGAGAAACTTATAGATGATTGTATGGTTTTCAAGGTAATACGGGTGGTTGCAAGTTGTGTATTGAGTTAGAATCTCAAGTGTTGGTTAGGTTGGTGCTTGGAGAATTTAAATGGGCCTCAAAATTATGGGGTATTTTGTCTAAGATATTAAGGTTGTTGGAGGGGTTGGACTTTCAGATTTGTCATGTTTACAAAGAGGCAGATGTGTGTGGCTAACTGCTTGGCAAAGATGGTTGTATATGGTGGAATTTCTTCGATTTTTTCTGCTATCTCTACTTTGGCTGCTGATGTGAAGATGGAGTTTCTGAAAGATAGAGTTGGCTTTGCTGTATTCCGAAATAGGATGTCCCTTGTGTTTGTCCAACTAGGCAATGGGTGGGGGGGTTGTTTGATTCATGATTGTAATGCTATTGGCAGCTGGGTGTTTTGAAGGATTAAAGTTAATAGCTTTGTGCTATAAATGAGGTTTCTTTCTTTTTTTTTTGCTTCATGTAATTCTCTAATTCATTGAAATAAAATCTCTGATTTCTTAAAAATAAAAAATAAAAAATATATATATATATGTGTGTGTGTGTGTGTGACTATTTGGGACTCGGAATCAAGTAAGGGTTGTCCAACATATAGCACAACAAAGCTAGCAATCAATTTGTGAACCTTAAAAGCTTGGGAAAGTAAACCCTTTNGTGACTATTTGGGACTCAGAATCAAGTAAGGGTTGTCCAACATATAGCACAACAAAGCTAGCAATCAATTTGTGAACCTTAAAAGCTTGGGAAAGTAAACCCTTTCTTTGTCAAGCTTGCGCACGCCATGGTAACATGGATCGAAGCTTGGGATGAGCTTAAACCGGCCAAAGACTTTGCCAAAATTTCCCAGTGACTTTACCAAGTGAAAGTTTTAATTGACAACAACTACCTTACTACTTTCAGTAGTTATGAAGCTTAATTATCAATTGGTCCAGATCTATCATCACGCCCAACAATTGTTGAAGATCTTTTTCTTTCTCTCATTTCTCAACTCTTGGTGCTGCTACTCTTCAATTCCATACTAACATTGCTAGGTATTCCCATTTCAATTCCTATAATCATTGTCTCAAGTTACGAGTTTGAGGAGGATAAGGTCGATTCGATGGAGGTGCAGCAAGGCCTCCCCCCAATGCCTCGGTTTAAAGATTGGTAGTTGTAATTTTCTTTTTTATTTTTTGGTTTCATGAAACAATTTTGCTTTGACAAGGACTTATAGTTTGATTTAACAATCAATTTTGCTAATATTATATGAGTTCGTTCAATTTAATTGTTGAGTTTAATTATTATTATATGGATTGTGCTAATAGCATA